AGTCACCCTCCTCCTTGATACTCTCTAGGTTTCCGTGGCCCTCTCCTTGTTCTCCTCGTGCATATCTAGCGGCTCCTTCCCTTATTTCTCATGAGTGAGGCAGATAGGTGCTGCAATACATATAGCCCATTGGGGTCAGGAAGACCCGAGTTCAAATCCTGCATCCGATACCGGCCAAGTCACTTAAGGTCTCTGAGACCGTTTTCTCATCTGCAGAATGAAGGTGTTGGATATGATGGCCTCCAAGACTCTTCTGGCTCGCCATTCCTACCTCCCCACCCCCACCCCCGCCTGGGTCTGCTGGCCGTCTCCATGCAGATGTCTCCAAGGCATCCCAAACGGAGCATGCCCCAGATGGAACCCTCTTCCTTTCTCCTTCGACCCAACCACTGCGTCCCTGCAGAGCACCACTATCCTTCCGCTCACCCAGGTGTGCAACCTGGTTTACGACCTGGAGAGAAGTGAGGAATGGTGGTTTTAAAAATTCCTCACCATATGGCTGGAACACTGGAACCACTCGTGGAACATCCACATGTGTTCTCCATCACTCCAAAGCACTCCCGTGCCACATCACCAGGACTCTCCAGCAGGCTTTTTCACATGGGAAATTTTGTCAGCAATGTTGTTCATGTATGAGAAAACGCTCTGAATCACTGTTGATTGGAGAAAGGCAAATTAAAGCAACTCTGAGGTACCTGTCAGATAGGTTAATATGACAGAAAAGGAAAATGATAAATGTTGGAAGAGGCGTGGGAAAATGGGGACACTAATGCATTGTTGGTGGAACTGTGAACTGATCCAACCATTCTGGAGAGGAATTTTGAACTATGCCCAAAGGGCCAATTATCCTGACTTATCACTGGACTTCAATGACCCTCGAAGAGACAGTGAGGCTGACGACTTTGTGCCACTGCCTCATTTAAATCCAATTCATGCAGAGGTCAAGACATCACCCCATGATGAAGGACAAATGACAACAACCATGACTAGGTCTGTATTCCAAAGATTTTTTTTTTTTTAAAGAAAAAGGACCCATTTGTACAAAAATATTTATAGCAGCTCTTTTTGTGGTGGCAGAGAACTGGAAATTGAGGGAATGCCCATCAAGTGGGGAATGGCTGAACAAGTTGTGGTATAAATGTAAATCAACTGTGCTACAAGAAATAATGAGCAGGATGATTTTAGAAAAACCTGGAAAGCCTTACACTAGCCAACGCAAACAGAAGTGAGCAGAACCGGGAGAACATTGTACACAGTAACAGCAGTATCGTAGGATGATAAACTGTGAATGACAGCTGTTCTCAGCAATACAATGATCCAAGACAATTCCCAGGGACTCATGATGAAAAATGCTATCCACCTCCAGAGAAAGAATTGACGGAATCTGAGTGCAGATCGGAGTGTACTATTGTTAACTTTATGTTTGTGTGTGTGTGTTGGGGGGGGTTGGTCTACGTTTTCCTTCACAGCATGACTAATATGGAAATACGTTTTGCATGATTGCACATGTATAACCTATATCAAATTGCTTATTGTCTGAAGACAAGGGAGAAGAGGGGCAGCTAGGTGTCGCAGTGGATAGAGCACAGACCCCTGAAGTCAGGAGGACCTGAATTCAAATCTGGCCTCAGACCAAACATTTGACACTAGCTGTGTGACCCTGGGCAAGTCACCCCAATTGCCTAAAAAGAGTAAGAGAGAGAGAGAGAGAGAGAGAGAGGAGGAGAAAAGGAGGGAGAGAATTTGAAACTCAAAATTTTTAAAAATGAATGTTAAAATTTTTTACATGTAATTGGGAAAAAATAAAAATTTTTTTAAAATGATGTTTTTGCTCATAAGGTCTAGGTTCACTGGCCATTCCTGTTATACATACGATACAATTTTTTCTCATCAGTCCTCCGGTAATAGTTGTTGTCTTTCATACTCAAAGAAGACCAAAACAATATCACTATGTTGGGGTCAACGAACAATGTGTCCAACTGTGGCCGGTCAGACCAATACAAGCTCAGAATGTTCTACTACAGGTTGGGCACAAATAGTCCGTGTGAACATTTGGGATGGAAATATCTCTAAATTTGTGCTTCTCACGTTTCTTTTGAGCTAGTGCAATTCCACTTTGCCCATAGAAGACAGTGCTTTTTGTGATGCAGGTGGTCCGTGCTGGGCGATCCTGTGCCAGTGTCTCCCATGTCTCACAATCAGTTCCAGCGTTCTTCAAAGAGACCTTGAGAGGGTCCTTGTACTGCTTCTTCTGACCTCCTTCTGAGTGCTTGCCTTGTGTGAGTTTTCCATAAAAGAGTCTTTTAGGCAAATAAACATTTGGCATTCCATCAACGTGGCAAGCCCATCAGAGTTGCACTCTCTGCAGTAGAGTTTGAATGCTTGGCAGTTTAGCTTGAGAAAGGACCTCAGTGTCCTACACTTTATCTTGCCAGGTGATCTTTAGACTCTTCCTGAGACAATTCAGATGGAAGGGATTCAGTTTCCTGGCATGGCACTGGTAGACTGTCCAGGTTTCACAGACATACAACAATGAAATCAGCACAATGGCTCTGTAGACCTTCAGTGTGGTAGGCAGCCCAATACCTCTTCTCTCCCACGCTTTCCTTCAAAACCTCTCAAACACTGAGCTAGCTCTGGCAATGTGTGGGTCAACCTCGTCATCTATGTGTACATCCCTGCAAAGTATACTGCCAAGGTATTCACAATTTTTCCATCTGCTGTAACCAATGTATGGATGGTGTGGTGCTGGCTGCTGGAGATCCTGTGTTTTCTTAGTGTTAATTGTTAGGCCAAATTAGCTCAAGCAGCAAATGATCAATCCATACTTTGTTGCATCTCAGCCTCAGAGGCTACATCGAACGCACAATCATCTGCAAGCAAAAGTTGTGCACCAACTCTCCCTCCACTTTAGTCTTGGCTGGTAGCCTTTTCAAGTTAAATAATTTACTGTCAGTGCAGTAGCCGACCTTGATCTCATTTTCATCCTCATTGAAGGTATCCAACAACATGGCTGAAAGCATCATGCTACAAAGCATGGGGGCAAGCACACAGCCCTGTTTCACTCCATTGGTGACTGGGAGATCTCAAGAGCACCGTTCATCTTCCAGAACGCTTGCAAGCATGCTGTGGTGAAATTGGCATACAATATTGATGAACTTCTCCAGGCAAACAAATTTTGCCATCATCTTCCACAAGCCCTCCTGACTGACAGTATCAAAGGTCTTGCTCAGATCAATGAACCTTGTGTACAGACCTCTGTTCTGCACCTGGCATTTCTCCTGGAGTTTTTGGGCAGCAAACACCATATGGACTGTTCCTCGGCCATTTCTGAAGCCACACTGGCTTTTGGGTAGATGACCATCTTCCAGATGAAGGATCAGTCTATTAAGGAGGACTCTGACAAGAATCTTGCCACCAATGACTAAGAGAGTGGAGCCCCTCACCCCCACTCCCCCATTGTCATAAGACAACCTATTTCCTTTTCCTTTATAGAGATGGACGATGGAGGCATCCTTGTACTCCTGAGGGATAACCTCTTCTTGCCATATAGTCCAGAAAAGTCAGCTTTTGTATGAATAGTGGATTCCCTACCTTGTGAATCTCAGCTGAAACAGAATCAGCCCTAGGTGCTTTGCCACAGGAGTGGAGCCTAATGGCATTCAAATCCTCTTCTTCAGTTGGAAGTTTGGCTCGAGAGCCAACATGAGGTAAAAGGTCAGTGGCTTCAGCATTGGCTGATGAGTCTTTTGAGAACACTACGGAAGTGTTCAGCCTTTCTCTCCAGGATCATGCTGTTATCACTGATCGATATGGCTTCAGCAGCATTGAGTACGTAGAGATACACCATAGGTCTTTGGCCCATAGCCTTCAGGACATCATAAAAGTGCTTTGGATTGCTACCTATTGGTGTAAAACTATATTTGATTTGCCTTCCTACTGAGCCAAGACTCCTGCATCTCTCTAAGCTTGCTTGAACTTTACTTCTGATGGAGTTAAATTGTGCCTTCTTAGAGACAGACTAACTATCCTGCTGGTAAACCCTATGGAGCTGGGTTTTTTTTGGTTTGTTTGTTTAGCAGCTTGTGAGCCACTGAGAGTCTCTCCACCTCCCTGCCCCCCCCAATCAATTTAAGGGATTTCTCTAATAATTAAATTATTCCTTATTAAAAGAACTTAAAGGCAAAAATCTATTTTAACTGCCAACAGGAAGTTTTTCTAGCTAGCTGGCAAAAAGAGGCATTAGCAGTTGTATTGTAGAATCTTTCTAGTCTCTTATTTAGCAAAGTGAAAGCAAAGAAAATGGAGGGGAAAACATGAACATAGGCTTTGAATTAAAATCATGGCCATAATTTTTATAAATTCATTTAATTGCTCCAGAGTTTATAAATGTAAACAGATTAGTTATAAAACAGTTCCTCTCTGCCCAACTGGGGATCTTCCTTTAATGGAAAGAATTTAGGGGGCAAATCAAGACAGACTCATCAATCTGCCGCTTAGCCTTACTGCAGGCTTGGAGTGTTTGAGTGTGGACCACGAAGGGAATCCAACCTCCCATGGCTGGGGCCCATGAAGGAACCAAGGGCAAAAAATCATCAGGGTATGCACTTCTTCTTGGGTCCCTTGAAGGGGCCAGCCTAAAGAAATGGGGATCCGTGCTTCACCATTCCATCTAGGTTCGCCATAATGCAGGGTCCAAAACTGTCCTTTCTACCAAAAAAACCACTGAGACAGAGTGCCGAGCCATTAACCCTCTATTAAAAGGACTGGACCCCTTCAGTGAATAGGATCTCAGATCTTCCTCATGATCTGAGCAGACCGCTTCCTCCTGAGCCTTAGTTTTATAGTGCTTGATACCCACACGATACAGAAGAGACACAGTAAAATACAGAGAAAGTTACTTAACTTCTGTTTGCCTAATCCACTGGAGAAAGAAAGTACAGACTACTCTAGTATCTCTGCCCAAAAAAAACCCATATGGTGTCATGAAGAGTCAGACATGACTGAACAACAATTTAATTAAACATCATCCTACTGTACGACATTTTACATTCCAGTTATAATGGGGCACTTATAATGAAAATTTCCCAACAGATACATTTTGTATTAATGACAACACTATCAGGGCATGTTGCAAATAATGAAATTACTGAGTCAAAGGACGTAATTACATTTATAAATTTTTACTACATGTTGATTGCCCGCCATAAAAAAAGATTCAGCAATAGGCCTGTTTTCCCACAAGCCTGCCAGCATTGCTTTTATTTTTTTGCCAACTTGGTAGTAATAAGGAATTATCAATATTGTTTTGAATTCTTTAGCGATTATTAACTTTTCCCATTTCAAAAACCGCCTCTTCATATTCTTTGACCATTATCCACTACTTCTGCATTCTAGATGTCAATTTTTTACATGTCATATTTGTCAATTTTCCTAGTCTTTCTTTATTTTATCTGTGGAATGGAAAAAAAAATTATCTCATCTCCACAACTAAGACCAGTGCCTTATTTCATTTTTTTCCTTCTGGGTAGTAATTTTCTGGAACTCATTGTAATACTCCCTTCAATGATTTCTTTTATTTCAGTCATTACAGTTTTATATTTGTCCTAATATGGATCCTATATATTTCTAGATAAGTTAACTACCAAATAGTTAATGGATTTTGTTATCATAAATGGTGTGTGTGTGTGTGTGTGTATTTTCCCCACACACATTCTTGATCTCCACTACTAGAAAACAGGAGTTAAGAATACCAAGGGTTAATCTGCTATCTTGTAACCTTGCTGATTCCACATAGTGTCTCTATTATCTTTTAGTTGAAATAGTTGGATGTCTTACATATGCCATTTGCAAAGCATGCTATTTTGACCTCTTCATTTTCAAGTTAATTCCCCTAACCTATTTTTAACCTGTCTACTTAAACCTGCTACAACTTCCAATATGTCAGATGAAGGTGGCTAGAATCAGGTTTCTTGTTTTGTAGCTGCTCTTATCACATGTGCTTCTTGTTGGCGTAAGCTAGCTCTTGGATTAAAATATTTCAATGGACCTGTACGTGTTAATTTCCCCAGTGTATCTGGGTCCAAAAATACTTAATAAAATATGAATTAATAGCACATAGCAACATACTAAAATTACTAACAAGTGGAAGGAATTACTGGTAAGGTATGGATTGGCTTAGGCCACCTCTGAGATCTTTTGCAACTCTCAGACATTGAAAAATGTCAAGTGGTTCACTATCAGAAAGGGATATGGTTTTATAAGTGAAAATAAAATTGAGGAAACTGTATTACCATCTGCCTTGTTGCTTCATCCTAAGAACCACTGGGGTTTTCCATCTGACTTACACCTGAAACTTCCTAGATATGTTTGTCTCCCCCATTAGAATATAAGCTCCTTGAGGGCAGGGATTGTCTCGATTTTCTATTTGTAACCTCCTTCCCCTTCATCAACAGTGTTTTACACACAGAAAGGGCTTACTGTTTTTTCACTCATTCACACACTTATTCATATCAAATAAGGCAATAACTACAGTGGATATCTCTTTCCCCATCAAGTACAGTCAGTGGTTTTCTCTAAGAGATGAATTCTCTGATGTAGACGAAGGTAAGACTTTCGACTGAAAGCTTTCCCACACTTGTTGCATTCAAAGGGCTTCACTGTAGCATGAATTTTCTCATGTTCAGTAAGATTTCCCCTCTGGCTGAAGGATTTCCCACACTCATTACATTTAAAGGGTTTCTCTCCAGTATGAATTCTTTGATGTTTAGTAAGGTGTCCCCTCTGGCTGAAGGATTTCCCACATTCATTACACTCAAAGGGTTTCTCTCCCGTATGAATTCTCTTATGATCAATAAGGTGTCCACTCCGGCTATAGGATTTCCCGCATTCATTACATCCAAAGGGTTTCTCTCCAGTGTGAATTCTCTGATGTAGAGTAAGGCAAAAGTTGTTGCTAAGAGACTTTCCACATTCACGGCATTCAAAGGGTTTCTCCCCAGTATGAATTCTCTTATGCTCAGTAAGCTGTCCGCTCCAGCAGAAGGACTTCCCACATTCATGACATTCAAAGGGTTTTTCTCCAGTATGAACTCTCTTATGTTCAGTAAGGTGTCCACTCCGGCTAAAGGATTTTCCACATTCATTACATACAAAAGGCTTCTCTCCAGTATGGATTCTCTTATGTTCAATAAGATGTGCACTACGACTAAAAGACTTCCCACATTCATGACATTCAAAGGGTTTTTCTCCAGTATGAGTTCTCTTATGCTCAGTGAGGTTTCCTCTCTGGCTGAAGGCTTTCCCACATTCACTGCAAGGAAAGGGTTTCTCGGCAGTATGAAATTTCTTATTATTTGTAAAGGATGAGGTGTTTCTAAAGACTTTCTGACATTTATTACCATTAGATGTTTTTTCCTCAACATATTTTCCATGATATTGATTAAGACCTGAATGATAACAGAATGACTTCCTACATTGATTATATTTGCAAATCTTCTCAAAAATAATTCCATGATGCTTAATTTGGTCTGAATATTGTTTAAAGTTTTCTACAGGTTTATCACATTCATACAGACTTCCTTCTGTATTAACTCCCTGTTGGACAAAAAGGATTGGTCCCAGGCTGAAGTTTGTTTCAAATGTATTATGTTCATTGACATTAATCTTAGTAGAACCTTTTCTGGGGGTGACTGTCACTTGATAGGACTGCCTTTCCTGGTAACACTTTTCTTGATTTAATTTGAAATTACATTCCCAGATTTCTCCTAGCTTAGACATCCAGGAACCATTATTCCGGAGTCCTTCCTCAAAGGGCTCTCCCACAGAAATGCTCTGCGTTGAAGGTGACGCCATGGTTTCACAACTAATCTCCCGACTAATGGACTCTGAAAGAAAAAAAAAAGGTCAATATTAATTTTTCGTTTTGCTGAGAGAAAGGAAACTACTTTACAGTAAATTTTAGATTCTATCTCTTCTAAAAAGGAAAATGATTAACACGGAAAGTACAGAACAAACACTGGTGAGAATAAAACAAAATTCCAGATATGTGAGAAGATAGTAAACAGTACCTAGATGCTTTAAATAAGTATTAGTATCCAAGACAAAATCAATCACACTTAAAAGGAGCTGAAAGAACATATTGATGCCATCAAAGCACCATTGTTGTTAATCTTTGGGAAAATGACAAAATTTACAGTAAGGAGAAAGAAGTTGATTCAGGAAACTGAAGACAAGTAAGCCTAATGCCAATCTTTAACAAAATTTTGACAAAATTCATTAGCAAACTCACACACACACACGTATACATATATATATGTGTGTGTGTGTATATATATATATGTATATATATATATATATATGTATACACACATTTTTTTAAACATGCTAAAGATTCAATAACAATAAACCCTCCATAAAGATCCTCATTTTCCTAAATGATTAGATTTCTAAACCGGCTGATTATGTAGCTATCATTTATTTAAATTTCAGGCAGGTTTTTTACATAGTCTTTCAATGTGACTTTTTGGACAAGACAAAAAACAAAACCAAACCCCAATTACTGTGTTAGATAACAGTACAAGTAGGTAGTGAGCTTCAGCACCTTATCCTTACAAAGAGTCCTAGATAATGGACTAATGTCAACTGAGTTGGAAGTCCACCACTGTGATTCTTCAGGGCTTCATACATGGCCCTGTCCTATTCAACATATTCATCAACAATTTCAATGAAAACATAAAAGCTTCCTTTATGAATTGTGTAGATGACACAAAACTGTATTATGTGTTCAGTTATGGGTATGCAACGCTTTAGGAAGGGTATTGATCAACTACGTCATATCTACAGGAATGCTATAAAAACCACATCCTAGGAGTAGTTCAAAGAAATGGCCATGTCTCGCTTTAAGAAGACTTAGGAGAGAGAGATTATTTTCAATTATTTAAAAATCTGCCATGTGATTAGACTTGTGATTTGTACCTATGGTGGAAAATTAGGACCAATCTTTTCAGTCCCACAGTAAGGCCCACACAGTGAAAAAAAAAAAGTCACGATGTACATAACAACATATACCATCATGCCTGGTCAATGAAGAAGGAATAAAGAGCACAAGGCCACTGACCCAAAGCAATGCTTCAGGCACACAAACTGTACAAGCCAAACAGGAATTTTGCTGATGCCTATTACTTCCCTTTGGACTTCGGAATTCTGTGCCAACTTTCCTGAACTTACCATTTCATCCTCCAGATCCTGACTTTGGATCTGGCACTCACTCGTTTGACTGTGCTCAGCTTCCGCTGAAGTCTCTCCCCACTGGTGGCTGGACCAGGCCATTTTTCCTCAGAGGGAATCTTTCCTCTAGGTCTCCTATGACGGACTGCCTTAATCTCCAGGAGATTAGCCCAAGAGATTCTAACAGTATTATCAAGTTGGAACTCCAACAATTCTCTCCCCCTACCCATCACTCAGACAACAACCTGAGACACCTCCTGCCCCTGTAAACATCCTAGGCTGGAGGCTCCAAAGACCTTGCTGCTATATAAAAAACTGAAGCTGATCTCCCCAAACTATGCTATCAAAGAAGCATTTGCAGCCTTGTAGGAATCCAATGGGCTGCTCTAAAAACAGCCTGTACAGGCACATGGCTTATCCAGGCACCTCAATGATACCCCAAAGAGGCTATTCCAAGGCTTCTAGTCATCTATGCCCATTCTTGGGGACTCCCTAGAGCCTGGGTTGAAATGACTTTCCTTGCTACGTCATGCTGTATGAGATGAGGCAGCGTCTGGTAAAAGGGAAGTAAAAGTCCTGCTCTCTCTGCCCTTGTCAGATCTAGAAGCTGAGTGTGGATCTGGGTGCCATATTTCAAGAAGGACACTGACAAGCCGGGACACGTCCAGAGGACGGTGATGAGAATGATCAAAAGACACACAAAGCTTAATCCAGAGGAATGGGGATACCTCCCCTAAAGAGGAGAAAATCCCAAGAGGAACACGACAGCTGTTTTCAAGGGTCTTAAAGGCTGTCACCTGGAAGAGGGATTGGCTTGTTTTGCTTGATCCCAGGTTGCAGATCTAGGCACAAAGGGTAGAAGTTACAAAGAGGAAATGTAAGCCATGAAGGATCAATACTGTCGAAAGCATCAGCAAGGCTTCAAAAGACTCAAATTGGAGAAAAGAACCTTGTTTAGGTAGAAGACAAGCAGACGGCAACACGTTGAGTCATTTTAGTCACATCTGACTCTTCGTGACCCCACTTAGGATTTTCTTGGCAAAGATAACAGAGCGGTTTGCCATTTCCTTCTCCAGCTCATGAGGAACTGAAGCAAACGGGGTTAAGTGACTTACCCGGGGTCACAAAGCTAGTAAGTGTCTGAGGCCAAATCTGCATTCAGGCAGTAATCTTCCTGGTTCCCAGCACCAGCGCTTTATGCACCATGGCGCCACCCAGCGGCATACTATGGGGAAAAGTCCTAGACTTGGGATTAGAAAAACTCAATTCAAAAGGAGTTAACGTAGTCATCACAAAGGTTTTAAACAAAAATGGATCGAGAAAGGAGAAAACTGCCTGGATACAGCCCCCAAGCTAGATGCCACAGAGAATATCTACAGCAAAAAAAAAAGAGTGGTGAGATACCCAAAAGTTCATAGGAGACAAAATTTTTTTTAAATGAGCAAGTGGTAAAAATCCATGGCCTCAAACACCTATACACAAATGCCCAAAGTTAAGAAAATAAGGAAGAACTAGAGGTCTGAAGGAGGCAAATTTGGTCTCATGGGTGTTCCGAGACTAAGTGGGGATAAAAGCCATGACAACTATTACACTGGGTGGGTAGAAATTATTAAAAAGAGAAAGCACGGTGCAGTCGTCACAGAGCCAGATTTAGAGTCCTGGCTCAGACACTTATGACCTGTATGACCCCGCGTAAATCACTTAACCTCCCTGGGCCTCAGTTTCCCCATCTGTCAAACAAGAAGGTTAGAATAGATGGCCACCAAAAGGTCCCTCCCAGCTCTAAATAGATGAGCCCACCATAGGTAAAGGGAGGGTAGAATAACAATGCACGTCAATGAGGTAGGTGAGAAAGTAAAGGATGAAGAAGACAGGCGTGCAGCGCACATCTGAACGAAGATCGATACCGAGATGAACAGAAACAGTCTTCTTCTTAGAGTGGACTACAGACCACCCAGACCCAAAGAGCAAACAGATGAGGAGACTGCGGGACAACCCACACACCTGGCAGCGAGGCCTTGAATTATCCGACATCGGCGGGAGCTTTGTCTGCCAGAAACACAGCGGACAATAACTTCCTGATTTGGCATAATGATAATTTCACCCTTCCAAAGCTGAGGAACCAACATGGAATAATTCCATTACAGACAGAATTCTCATTAACAGGAAAGAACTTCTTGTTTGTGTGGAAATGACGGGAACTTTGAAGGGGGCGGGAGATGTGACCGCTCCCCTCAGAGTTTGTGACAAAGAAAGAGAAGACCACCAAGTCTGACTAAAACCCTGTTTTTGGACAGCAAGTTTCTAAGGATTCAGGGGAAAGGATGGATAAGATCCCAGGGCCTAAATCTGACGGGGAAATCAGCCTATGAGAGACGGTAGATGTTCAAGAATGAAATTCTGAAGACAAAAAGGGTAACAATTCCAACAAGGAAAAATGAGGATTATTTTTAAATAACCTGTTTAGACCTATTTAGATGAATAGGAAACTCACAAACCAACTTAAGACTTAAAAAAAAAAATGTAGAGAAGACACAAGCAAGGTCAGGTAACAAAGGACGAACATACTATAAAAGCACAGCACAGTCTCATCAAAATGCTGTGAGGAATGCTCAAGCTCTGAGACAGCCGGATCTGGTCAGAGAAGCCTAGCACAATGAAAAACAGGGTAGGTTTTTTGATGAACCCCTACTGGTTCAATACCATCTACTGGTAGAAGGAATAAGATTGCTGCTGGGGCAGGAGACCGACAAGAGAGAGAGAGATGGCCAAGTTGCTCAAGGCTTATTTTATCTTCACTTTTTTCTGAGAAGGCAAATCTTCTTTTATCAAAAACGATAAAATAAAAAGACACAGAAAATAAATGCCTTCCACTGTCTCTGGTACTGTCAAATGATACTAGAAGCTTACATGGTTTTACCAATCCTAATGCACTAAATAAGATGTTTGTATATCAGCTTAGGGGCCCTCCACCCTCTGGCCAAACTGGATTACCTGTCATCCAGACCACCTGGCCTTACCATCTTTCCTGCTGCTGACCTTTGCAGATGCTTCAGCATTGCCATCTGCCCTGCCGCCAACCCCTCTAGACCCGTAGGCATTGACGCCTGCCCTGCTGCTGACCCCTACAGGACACCAGGCCATCACTGTAGTTCAGTTCTCTTGTATACCATCTCCCCAAAAAGAATGTGAACTCTTTTACAACAGGGCCTACATGGCTTATTTGTACCTTCAGTTTACTACAGTGCTTTGCCTACATTAAGTCCTTACAAATGTTTTCATTTATTTGTTCATTCATTCATTCATTCACTCATTCTTGTGAGATGTTACAGAGAGCCTCTGTTTGGGTACTATTGAAGAAATGACTCCTGAGAAATGGTCCCTGTCACATCTAAGGTTCTGTGACCGCAGGGAAAACACTTTACAAACCGTAAAATGCTTAATTTGTACAATCTATTAATACTATTATGGAAATCAAAGATGACTTGAAGGAACATTCTGAAACTGGAAGCCAGATTGCAAGATTTTAACATCAGAATGGGATTTGAAGAAATGGAGAAGGCTACTACAGATTATATATTTGAAGAGTCTGACAACATAAAGAATGAAACAAATTGGAAGGCAGATTAAAAAACAAAACAAAACCCGGCAACGTCAAGCAAAGGTAGGAGCGCGCGCGCGCGCACACACACAATATATATACATACATATATTTATATAACATATATATGAATATATATATGTTCAAAGTACATATTGAAAACCAAATTATTAAGTAAAATACATTTGTGAAAGCAGAAGGAAAGGAAAATTTGGCAAGTTTAAGGATGTACTTATGGGACAGGGTAGGAAAGAATGGGATCCGGAATAAAAAGGAAAGAGTTACCAGTAAGTGCACAGGACTAGGAATAACAATCCTTACACTCAAGTCCCAGCAACCCCCTTATGGCCCGTTTCCACGTCGAAACACTGGGGAGGTGCACACGATGCCATCTAAGGCCCCTTCTGGATCCACATTCTGCCAGTATATGAGTAAGTTCTTGATGGCAGACTGAGGCCTGGGGAGAGCCCCCAATCCACTCTTAAGTCCTGAACTTCAAAGCTCCTTGTCATGACTCCTAACAGCCTTACCTGGACAGGCTTCTCTTGGGACTTTTCTTTCCAGCATCCATGGTATGACTCCTCTCTCCAAATGGGAGATCACCTCTGGTTTGGAAACTGGAAGCCCTGCTCATCAGGAAAGAAGTGGGAAAGTGCATTGACCAGGCCATCTCCACATTCAATCCTAGTGCCCTGCCTCTTCAGGAACTAAAAGAAAAGGTCCAGAGAGGGCTGGAGAGGACCTCATAAAATAATCAAGAAACAAGTAAAGCTGGATCATAGGGAATTTGTCCTCAAAGACCTAATCCTTGATATGAAGATGGGAATCTTTCATGCCTCTAATTTCTTGCTCTAGGGCCTTAGTAAGGAACCTTTGACCTGGAGGAACAAAGAATGGGAAATGCAGCCTTGGGGACGTTACCATAAAGCTCCTAATTATTCAGTTATATAAAACAAAGACCTTTCACCTAGAAACACAGGAGCAGAAACAACTTCTTTTAGTCCAAAATGGTTTGGGGATTGCCCCAGATTATAGCCCAAAGTCAGCTAAATATTTGAGATACTACCACGGCCACAGCCTCTAGCCAAGTGAATATGCAAAGCCTTGCCAATGCACAGATTCTGAGACAGAGAAAAGTGGACCTCACCCAAGGACACCAGGTTCCTGTAGTTCTCCAGCATCACATCCCTGTACAATTGCCTCTGGGCAGGGTTCAGTTGTCCCCACTCTTCCTGGGTAAAGTCCACAGCCACATCTTTGAATGTCACTGATTCCTGAAACAACAAACACATTCCTGTTCATCCAACGATCCTCTCTCACAGGCATCTTGGGAAGACCAGAAGTCAGCCAGTTGTATGTGGTATGGTTTCCACAATTGTCAGGGTTCTGAATATTTCTAGTCAAATACCTCCTGAAGGTCAATGTATTTAATGTGGTCTCAGACTTGCTAGTATGTTGATGATTCTGCTCTATTAATGGCACCCTATCCACGGGCACCCCAAGGGAGTCCTATGTTTTCCATTAATTTGAATGCTTAGAGCTACACCTCTACTAATTTGCAAAGTGCTGTCTTCCCAAAGCCATAACTCCTCAGAAGGATCCCCAAGTCCTTTCATGGTAACAAAAGTCCCAAGCAAATAGGAAGCTGGAATCTGTTACTTCAACACATGAAGGAGATAACTGCATAGACCACAAGACCATAAAGACCACAAGATAAAATCAACCTAACTAAGGGGCTTAGCCCAAGAAGGTCCAAACCAGAAAGGCTGGCCCCATATGTGTGCCGGAGTGTTCACAGCAGCACTTTTTTGTAGTAGCATGCAAACAAAGTGGGTGCCTATTAACTGGGGAATGGCTGAACAAGCTATGGCCTGTGGACAACATGGAATTTTACTCTATGTTGAGAAATAATATGAGGAATTCAGAAAGAACACAGGAGGATTTGTAAAAGACAGATAGATGCAGAGTCATGAGAGCATTATATCAGTGATGACGGCAACAAATGAAAAGAACAAAAGAATGCAGCTGAACTCTGAGTAACTGTAACAACTGGTCCTGGTTCTAGAGAAGGGATGAGACAAAGCCCTCTCCTCCTAACAGATGGAAAACACTGTGAGATGCAGGCTAGGGAGCGGTCCTTTCGACTTCTCTTCTTTACAAGGAGGAGTCCAAAGTTACAAGGAGGGGCTAGATCTCCAAATGACTGTCACATAAAAACAACAGGAATCAACAAAACTTACTTCTAAAAAGACTGCACAGATAGGGCAGCATAGTTCCTGGAGGGATTGAAAGCCTGCCCAGAGAGCAAGAGCCAGATAGTGGGGGCATCCAGGGTTGGGTTTGGTAGGATGTGAGAGGCAAAGGGAGAAAGGACTCAAGATAGAGGATCGTATAGTCAGACTGGTTCATATTGCAGTAGAGATAGGGAAAGGAAGAGAATACAGCCAGTGGGGGAGGTGGTGGCCTGGGCGAGAATGAGAGAGTGGGAAATGGAGATTATGGGAAGGGGCTGTAAGGCTAAGGGAAAGATGGAGAGACAAATGGTTACGACCCGATCAAGAAATCTGCCACCAGTACTGGAGATCCTTTGTGGGTGATGTAGGATCAGAGAAGGGAGGGTCTCTGTGTGTGGGTACAGGGCAGTGGAGGAGGAGGTCAGGGAAGGGAGTCGACTGAGGAACAGAGAAGTCAGGGCACAGATGTGCATGCTCACACTCCCCAGTATGAGGGCAGGAGCAGAGAGAAGCTGTCAGCCAAGCAAGGAAGAGAACGTCCCGGTTTTCCCTTCTAACATCCACCAGGATCTGGATTGAGGAGGTACACACCTTGTATGTATCTGGTTCTTTACATGCTGTCTGTTCATTAGACTGGGAACTCCTTGAGAAGCATTTCTGCCTTTCTTGGTAGGCCTACTACTTAGCACAGTGCCTGGCCCACAGTAGGGCACTTAATAAATGCCTGTCGTTTGCTTTAATGATTGACTGATTGCACCCTTGGACCCACGGATCACATGCCTAGCCTTATACTTCAAGGAGGTCAATGACAGAAAGTTACTGATACCAAATGACTCATAGCAGCACTTTGTGTGGTAAAACCATAAAGTCTGTCGGTTGAGGAATTAATGAACTATCTTTGGTTCAGGAATGTAATGGAATTTTATTTTGCCATTAGGAATAATGAATACACTAGTTCACAGAAACGTGGGAAGATGAGAATGGACTGATATAAAATGAGGAAATTAGAACGAGGAAGACAATGTAAAGATTGCAATATGTAACTGAAGGTAGAACACCAGAAATCAGATCAAATGTAATAATGCTAGCTCAAAATTGGTTCAAAATAACCAAAGTTGGGAGACAGCCTGGTGCTGCTGAAAGAGTGTTCAACGTAAAAGTCAGAGGACTTGGGTCAAGTCCTGGCTGTGCACCCTTGGACAAGTCACTTGGTTTCTCTGGGTCTCAGTTTCTTCAAATGTAAAATGAGAAGGAAGTTGGCCTGGTTGAACCACTAAGGTCCCATACACCTCTAAATCGATGATCCCATGATTCTCCCTCTTGGGAGAAAAGTGGCAAACTACAGATGAGGAGCACGACTACATCTGCTATCACTCACAGTTACTCTTGTGGGAAAGATACTACAGAGGCAGAATTAGGAAATGCTTGTGATTAAAGCAAACTGCATTAGTGACACCTTTTCTGAAGAATGCTTGAGATGTTCCAGCTAAAACCTTCCCCTTTAAACCTTTATACTCTTCCCAATTTAGTTTTCTTTTCCCCAAGCCCCAAGGCCACTCCCAGCCCCATCACATTCCTTTAATGAGCAATGCACACCCAATACCCTCCTTCACGGAATTCCCTCCTTGTTGTTATTCAATCATGTCTGACTCTTGGTGACCCCATTTGGGGTTTCTCACTAAAGATACTGGAGTGGTTTGCTATTTCCTTCTCCAGCTCGTTTTACAAAGGAGAAAACTGAGGCAAACAGGGTTAAGTGAATTGCCCAGGGTCACACATCTAGTAAGGGTCTGAGGCCAGATTTGAATTCAGGAAGATGAGTCTCCCCGACTCCAGGCCTGGCGCTCTACCCACTATGGCACCTCCTGCCCATTCCTTCCTTAACTCATTACAATTTAGCTCCAGAGCTAATGCCCTAGATACTTCAACTCACCCCATTACTGCTCCTTCCATACCTCGTCTCGTACTTCTACCCAGAACAAGCACTTCTGCTCCTAAAATGTGTGGGCTAAGGATCTATTCCAGGGGTGGGAACCTGTGGTCTTGAAGCCACGTGTGGCCTTCTAGATCCTTAAATGCGACCTTTTGACCAAATCCAAATTTTGGCCTTCTGGGTCCTTAAGTGCAGCCTGTTGTCTGAATCCAAATTTTAGTCTCAAGGCTGCAGGTTCCCCACTCCTGAATTCTACTCTTTGCAGAAGCGGAAATGAATAACCCAGTAGTATTCTCCATGGCTTTCCACAATCTAGGTTCACCCCACCTAATGCATCTTCTACTACCACTACTGAATATGAGTTATTTGCTAAGCCAGTGCAGTCTAGACACAGATAACGTGTTAACTCATGTCTAACTCAAATTATGCATCCTTCATGAATCCTTTCCTGTGCAAACAAGCATGGATATCTTCCTTTTCTGAATACCTCTGCCAACTCAACTTGGTGCTTTAAAAAAGGAGGAGTAAAGGGAAAGAAAGACATATTACCCCGAGGGAGAGATAGAGGACAGCATGTACCAGGCAGATCGGGCTGCCACAAGCACCTTGGCCACCATCTCCCCTCAGACACTGGTGGAGCCAGCCTAGCACCCTGAGCCCAAGACCTTAGGAAAAGCAATGCTTCCAACCCAGTGTCCTCAGCAATCATCCTGCAGCCTGGTCGCTGCTCCTTCAGGGGCTATAGCCCCAGCTGCTGAAGACCCAGAAGAAAGAGTTCTTGCTACAAAAGTCTTGGCACTATCATATGGTTCAACATCACAAACCGAGAAAGATTTTATCAGTAGAAATTATATTAAAGGAAGAAGCATTAGCTTCTAAGGACCTTGACACCTTGCCAGCTGACTTGAAGCTAAAACTTAGGTGTATAGTCTACCCCATTAGGATGTGAGCTCCCTGAGAGCCAAGGACTGTTTTACTTCTCTATTCTTATTTACTGCTTTGCACATAGTAAGAGCCTCTTAATAGATGCTCATTCATTCATTCCACTTGGTACTATCTTTCTAGTGAAACTGAACATTTCTTGTCCAAAAAGACGGTCACTTATCCATCTTTTGGATGGCCCCGATACCCATCTCAGCAATGAGCATGCAGCAGATCAGAATGCCTCTGTGAATTAGCTAGGGTCAGGGAGAATGAACACTAGACAAGTAGAAAGCATGGCACCAGTCTCTTGGGTTACAGCAACTGAGAAATGAAGGTGTCCTTTTTTGAGAATCTAGCTATCATTTAAAGAAAGAAGAAACTCAAAAAAGAACTTAGCTTTGAAAAACTGAAAAAAAAAAAAAAAGGAAGAAGAAACTCCAACTCACCTGGCATATGGCTGTTAGAATCATAGGGACCATTCCTTTCTCCTCCATACTTCTTTCTTTTGGAAAAACAAACCTTTTAAAAGGCAGACCTGTGAAACAGAAAGGAAGCTTTAGAATGACCAGACATGCGAACAGACTCATACATTTAGAGCTGGCAGGGGCCTTAGAGACCTTCTATTACAACTCCCTCATTTACAGATGAGGAAACTGAGGTCCAGAGAGATAAAATGACTTGCCCGAGATCACAGCGATTATAAGTAACCAAGGCAAGATTCCAGTCTAGGTACTCTGACTCCAATGTAGTCCTTTGAAATGATCACACTTCAAACTTCTAGAGGAAAGAGTGAAAAGATCACAGATGTTCAATTAGAAGGAACCACAGGAAAAATCCTCATGTTATATATCAGGACTCTGAGGTCTGAAGACTCAAAATCATACAGACAGTATGCAGAATGGCCAGGCTTCAAATACAGAGCTTCCACACATGCGCCGTGCAGCCTGTGGGAATCCTGATACCCTCCCACTCCCAGGATGAAAGAACAGGGTTATAATTTTGCTACTTGGATAGACTGAAGACAGACAAATTCCTGAAGGGCATCCACAGACCACCAACATCTGGCCCTCCTTTTCCTCTGGGGCAGAGGTTCAGCCCAAGATCCAGAAGCAGGGAGTGGGCCTGGGACCAGGCTTAACTGCCAGGAGGAATCTTCCTTCCCTCCCATCCATCCATCCCTCCATCCCATCCAGGAGGAGGGACTTTGAAATATGGAGTCTGAACGGGGGGTGTTGCAGGAAGAAAGAGAAGAAAAAAACGAGAATGGGGAAGAGGAAAAAGAGGGAAAGAGGAGCGGGGGAAGGAGAGTGAGAAGGGGAAGTAAAGTGTGTTAAAGATGGGCTCCTCTGACCTGCTTCCGTTTCCTCTGGGGCAGGAGGTGGTGCAGGGGCGAGAGCGCTGGACTAGGAGTCAAGATGACCTGAGTTCAAATCCAGCCTCAGACACTTACTAGCTGTGTGACCCTGAGCATGTCACTCAGCCCCGACCCGCCTGTTTCCTCAGCTGCAAAATGGGGCTAATATTAGCACCTACCTCCTGGGTTGCTGTGAGTCCCGAAGGAGGGGATGCTGGTAGAGAGCTATGCCAATGCTAGTTATTATTCAGAGGAGGAGGCGGAGGGGGAGGGGGAGGGGAGAGCCAGGGGCCGGTGTCTGCCTCTCTCTGTGTCCCCAGAGCCCAGCACTGCGCCTGGCTTATGGCAGTGCCAAATCAACGTTCTCTGACTGACTGACTGACTGACAAGGGAGAGGAGAAGAGAAGTGGCGCAGAAGGGGCGGAAGGCCGGCCGGGTGCCCGGGGTCCTGGGGACACGCCACACACTCCCGCGGCCCCAGGGCGCCCGCGTGGGCAGACCACCGGGACCTAAGGAACAAACGGAAGACTACGAAGAGGAAACGGAAATCCCGCCCAGGGCATGCGTGTTTCCGGGAACATTCACACCACCTTTGGCCTAGTCCGGCGTCAGTTTCTATGGCAACTGGCCGGTTCCCACCCCCTGGGCGGACCAGAGCTCTGTGCAGTGGCTTCTGGGAAACGTAGTCCCTGCACCCACAGCCGCTGCTGCGCATGCCCGGGAAAGCGCCTAGGCAACCGCTCAGTTGAAAAGCGTGACTTGCATCCAAGAGAGGCAAGTAGAAGGGTGCCAGGATGAGAAATCGGGGAACGCGAGTTCGAATGCCACCTCTTCTGCTTGCACGCGTCGTGACGTCGGGAGAGTCCCTTTGATCTCTGGGCCTCAGTTCTCCCTTTTGTAAAATTAGGAGTTTGGGACTCGATGCTCTGAGAGGATCCCGTGAAAGTCTGGCTTTTGCGGCCCTGAAGTGAGGAGGACCTGAGTTCAAATCCGACCTGAGACCAAACACTTGACACTTACTAGCTGTGTGACCCTGGGCAAGTCACTTAACCCCAATTGCCAAAAACAAAAAACAAACAAACAAACAAAAAAAGAAAGTCTGGCTTGGGTGGAAGGGGCAGATGAGAGGGTACCTCGGGAAAGCGGCCTTAAAGCGAGAGTAGGATTTTGGTGGAGGTATAGCTTCTTCCCTTACCAGTTGGACCTCAGGTCCCCGCCACATTTTCCGTTTTGTGTTTCTTTCCCTAGAGGCATGTCACTGAACCGCAGTTTTAAGAGTTTTCAGCCTTCACTTCTTTCGTTGTGAGCTGCCCAGTGGGAGGTGATTCCTGCCGCTACAACACTCCTCAGAGGAGAAGGTAGCCAAAGACGAGAGGATTCCGGAACCAAAGAGAAGAAACAGGATCCTAAGTGGCCAGAAGATCTACACCTCAGGAGTGGCTCCGTTTCTTGATAAAAGTAATATATGTGTGCAGCAGTGCCACAAAGTGGCTTACCTGTGTCTTATATTGTGATGGGCAATTGTTTATTTTCTAAATTCGTGCTTATCAGTCATCTGAATTTTGAGTATTTCTTTTGTGGTGGAAATAAATAGCTGTCCTATGCTTGGTACCCATTTTTGTACGAGTACTTTTCTAGAAGGAAATTTGTTAATTCCTTTTTTGGGCAGATCTTAAACATGCGCCATACCAATGCTCGGTTTAGATATTTTCCTAGGAACTCCAGGAGGGGGAACCTAATACACCAGAGCTGGAGAAATGCACGACTTGTTTCTTTTAGCGACCAGGTTCCTCCAGGAACGAACCAGGGCCCTGGCTTCTGGAGCCGAACTGTCCCCTGTTGGGAGTGGGAGTGATTTACAACTAGGTGAAAAGGGATTGGAGAATTAATAATTGTGGGATTCAGAAGGGGCCTCTTGAAGACTGATCTCCCAAACCCAATCAGTCCGCACCATAATGCGCCCAGGGAAGGAATCCCTCCTCAGGAGCTTTCTCCCGTTTTGCAGAACGCGTCCCTCACTTAGCCAGGTTTCCAGATCTGGGCATGCGCAGAAGCTACTCTAGGACTCAGAACTACCTTTCCCAGAAGAGTTTGGGGAGATCGCTTCTTGGATCGATTTTGAGCCTCCTCGCTTGCCGTGGCAACAAGGTTAAGCCAGCCCGAGCTGGGAATCAGGGCCGGAAACGTCTACAGGCGGGACTTCCGTCTGCTCCATGGTGTTCTTCCTCTCGAGTGTGGCCGCCTCCACCAGTCAGGTATATGTCCCTGCAACGCCCCTGGGGCATCCTGTCTCCGCCCTCCCAAGCTGAGGTTCAGGCTCCTTCCTCTCGCCCCTCAGCTCTTTCTCATTGCCAGCCTTCCCTCCTGCGCATGCCCAGAACAGGAGACACAGGCTGCCTCGGCCCTGGGCCAGTCCCTGTGGGGGTGCGCGAGTGGCCCCGAAAAGGACAGAGATGTCCGGGTACTTCTGACCTGCCTCACCGGCACCTCCCTCTTCCCCGCCCCCCAACCTGTTCCTGCATCAGTTTCTTGGGTTTGGTCCTGGCCTTGGGACTGGAAGGAAAAAAGTACACTTCGCAGCGGCTTCTGGGAAATGTAGTACTGAGGCCCTCGGAGGCTCCTGCGCATGCTCAGGAAAGGGAGCTTCCTCCCCTCCCCCTCTGGAGAAGAGAGGCTGGATGTGGAGGCAGGAGCAGGGATCGAATCCCAGTCGTTCTGTGTGACCTGATGTCTTGCCCTCTCCAGACCACAGTTTCCAACTCTCTGTGAAATAATAGTCTCTTCTTTTCACAGGCAACTGGGAAATAAGAAAAACAGGAAATGGGGTATAGAAATCTATCCTGCCCTACAGGAATATAGAAGGGGAAGGGGATAAGAGAAGGGGGGGAGAGATAGAAGAGAGGGCAGACTAGGGGAAGGAGTATTCAGAATGCATGCCGTCTTGGGGTGGGGGGAGGGATGAGATGGGGAGAAAATTTGGAACTCAAAGTCTTGTGGAAGTGAATGTTGAAAACTGAAAGTAAATAAATTTAAATTTAAAATAATAATAATAATAAAAGAAATAATGATCTCATCCCTCTAGGGCAGTGAAATCGTAGCTTGGGTAGGAAAGGGAAATCGAGGCACGAGCAGAATTCCAGGAACATCCCTGAGGATGGGCCAACCCCAAGCTGCTAGGTGCTCCCCTTTTTCTTTGGTAGGAGGGTCTTCCCTAGGACTAATCTCCATTCCTTGTGTCAGAGATTTTGGTCTCTCCATTCCTCCCCGCTTCAGGTGTGGGACATTCAGGTACCCCTGGATGCTGCCCCAAGGACTTTGGCCCTTTCCCTTCCCATGAGACCAGCAGGACAAGAGGTTCCCCATCTTATTCTCCTAAACTTGGCCTTTTTGAGTGGTAATCTGTTGATTATCTCCAGTTATCTTGTATATGTCTTGTTTGTAATATTTGAGTGTTATATCTTGGGGAACAGAGACTGTCTTTTTAACTTTCTTTGTACCCCCAGCAGTTAGCACAGTGCCTATTTGATTTTTATGTGGAGGTGTGGGGACTTCTAATTTTGTCCCTTATCATGGAAATACTAGTCACCATCCTGTTTCCTCTCTTCTTCCCAGCTCTTTTTTCTGAGGATTCTGTACTTTTACAGAAGGCGCTGATTCAGGGGGAGAAAATGGGTCCTGTGATCCCACCAGCCAGGCGCCTGGTGAGTTGGATTTTCTTCCTTGCAGAAATAATAGCTAGGTTGTTGCTTCCAGTATGGACGCATCTCTTTCTCACATCCCCGAATCCCAAGACACTGGAGCCTTTATGATGGGTCGGATGCACCCCCATCCTCTGGCGTTTCTTCCTTCTAATGACAACTAAGATGTTTTCTCAGGAATTTAGTCCTCCTCTCTGCTCAGCTCTGAGCTAGATTCTCTGACTTCTCTCTGTCAAAGAGACCTCAGGCTCCACCAACTGTTTAGTATGTGTTAATCATGCATTTTCTGTCAGTTTTAAAGTATCAAAATGAGAAGTGCAGGCATTAAGTACTTCCGAGAAGTTCAGAAAAATAGTTTGATGTAAATAAAAATAATTTAAAATCAGGCACTTGACAGTCAACAATAAACACGAACATTTCCGTATATGCAGGATAGAAAAAAGAGACTTGCTTATGGAATCACGAATCAGCTATGTACAGCCGTATTTGTTTGTTTGTTTGTTTAAAGACTACATCAGTTTTGACATGCCAGTACCATGCCAGAGTTCTTGAAGAAAATACATGTTGAGTTGGCCCTTGGACTAGATAGGATGTGGTTAGTTTGTGGGGGCTGGTGAACATATCTTTGGTGGGAAATAATCCAACCAGCCTAGACTGACTACAATAGGCAGATCATGGGAAGGGTTTATTAGGAGATGAATTGGGGGTGGTAGGTGGGGATGCAGATTGTATCAAGTCATGAGTCAGTCATGGGGCAGCTAGGTGGTACAATGGATAGATCACTGGACCTGGAGTCGGTAAGATCTAAGTTCAAATCTGGCCTCAGACGCTAACTAGCAATGTGACCCTGGGCCAGTCATTTAACCCCTGTTTGCCTCAGTTTCTTCATCTGTAAAATGAAGATAATAATATCACCTACCTCCCAGGGTTGTTGTAAGGATCAAATGAGATTTTAATTGTAAAATACTTAGCACAGTGCCTGGCATGTAGTAAGCACTGTATAAATGTTAGTAATTATTATAATTGTTATTTCTTCTTGATAAGAGCAGATGGGAAGCAGAAACACCTCATCTGGTGGAAAGGATGAGAGGCAAAATTTTAGGGGTAGGGACGATGCTGAGACAAGGGTAGACGTGGCACCTCCATGTAAAGGAGGTAAATTTGTTGCTCTGTGTAGGATAAGAAAAGGAATGAAGTGCTGGAGATGTGACTCCACACTGCTTATTCTCCCGGGAAGTGGGGAGGGTGGGAACGAGTTAGATATTTGAGGAGAGAGGGGTTGAAATGAAAGGTGCAGGGGGTTGAGGCAGAGGGAGCGTGCCCCAGCAGAGATCTGGCATGAGAGGCCCTTGGGCTTCTGCCTCTGCCACCTGCCTACTTCTGCCCTGTGACATTGGGCAAGTTAAGTTCCCTGGGCCTCGTTTTCATCTTCTGTTGAATTAGACCATACTGGATGACTTCTAGAAACCCCTTCAACTCTTAACTCTACTTCTGTGATCCTTTGAAATGTGAATTTAATAGTGTGTGTTTTTTTGTATTTTTGGTTTTTGTTTTACCATTAAGTGAAAATAGAAGTTGGGTATTACTTGGTAAATAAACATTTATTAAGTACCTACTATAAGCCAAACACTGGGGATACAATACAGAAGTGAAACATTCCTTGCCCTCTAGGAGCTTAGCCTCTAGCCAGGGGAGACAGCATGTTTGTGTTGCTTTATATATGAAACAGATAAAGGTGATTTTTAGGAAGAGGGCACAGTCCCCTGGGAGGGATCAGGAAAGGCTTCATGTAGTGGGTGGCATTTGAACTGACCCTTGAATGAAACTGAGAATTCCCCAGTATTGGGTGGGAAAGGAGGCCGTTCCAGGCACGAGAGGACAGCCAGTGCAAAAGCACAGAACTGGGAGGAGGGGGGGTCATGAATGAGGAGCTGTTGAACTGAACCATAGAATGTGAAAGGGGGAGCAGTGTGTTATAAGGCCAGAAGGGGAGGTTGAGGCCAGATTTGAGAGGGATTTAGAGGCAGTGGGGAAATACTGGGACTTGGAAATGACCTCGTTAGACGTGTACTTGATAGCCCTTCAAGCAGTTAAATGAAGAAAGGATTAGAGGGAGGAGAGATGACGTAATGAGACTAGCAGGCTATGTAAGAGGTGATGGGGGACTAAGCATGGGGGTAACTCTGTATAAAGAGAAGGGGGCGGGATAGGAGGTGTAGAGGGGAGCACAGTAGAATTTGGCATCTGGGTGAGGTGGGGATGGGATAGATTTGAAGATGACTGCAAGGGTGAGAACTTAGGTGATTGCCCTGGAAGGATGGTCGTGATCCCCAGGAATGCTCATAATAGAGATGAGTTCATCCAGGGCTGGCGTGGATAAGGAATAACGAGTTCCTATTTAAATATGTAGAGTTTGAGCGGACTCTTGGACGTCCTGCTTGAAGTGTCCAATAGGCAGTTGGTGATATAGGGGCTCGAAGCACGGGAGAAAAACTAGGGCTGGGTGTGTAGATTTGGGAGTCATTTGCATAGAGATGATGATTAAACTCTTGTAGAAAGATGAGGAAAGGGCCTTGGAGCCCATAGAAGGAGTGTAAATATCGAAGTAAAAGTTCAGAGTGTAGTGATGGCACAGTGGTTAAGCTGAACCATTCGGTGTTGTGTTTGGGGATAAATTCTGCTGGAATCACTATTATTAGCTATGTCAAGCAGCTGCTCAGAGGATGCTTGTCTCATATAGAAAGTTCTCTACTAGCTAAGTCCTCTTTTGCCACAAGAAGTCTAGGGTTTAAATACCCTCCTAAAGTCCTGTTTCCAGAGAATTCTAGGTAATTACCTCTAAGCTTGCTTTAGTATTGCAAACTGAAGAACAAAACAAAATAGAGAAAGGAGAAAAAGTCCTGTCTCTTCCAGGATCAAATATAAAACCCTCTGGTGTTCAAAGCCCTCATAACCAGGCCCTTTCCAAGTTCTTACACCTCTGAGACCCTCCAGTCTTACAGATTTCCCCCTTGGCCCCATCTCTGCAATCCAGGGCTCTGGCCTCCCTATCACTCCTCAGGTAAGACTCTCTTGTCTTCTTATCTACTCTAGACATTTTCCATGTCTGGAATCTCTGGCTTTTTTCAAGTCCCAGCTAAGTTCCCACCATGTACAGTAAGCCTTTCCTGATTCCTTCCTTCCCTTCTCACATTTATGTGTGTGTGTGTGTGTGTGTGTGCGTGCGCGTGTGCGCACATGCACATGCATGTATGTATATATACACATGTATACAGACAACATATGTGTGCTGCATGTATATATGCACGTGTGTGGAGGTGTGTACGTGCATGTGTGTGTATATATCTATATGTATATATAGATATATACACACATATACATCTCGATCTTTATCTTTTTATATATAATTTTTGCATATAGTCTTCCCCACTAGACTATGAACCCTTTGAAAGAAGACACTGTCTTTTGTCTTTCTTTGTGTCACAGTGGATAGTGCACTGGGTCAAGAGTCAGGAAGACCTGTGTTCAAAGCCGGCCTTAGGTATGTAAATAGCTGTGTTACCCTGGGCAAGTCACTTAACCTCTGTTTGTCTCAGTTTCCTCAACTATAAAATGGGTATAATAACAGCCCTACCTTTCAGGGTTGTTCTGAGAGTCAAATGAGAAAATATTTGTAAAGTATCTAGTACAATACCTGGCACATAGTAGGTACTATATAAATGCTTATTCTCTTCCTTGCACTTAGCACAGTATTCAACACATAGTAGATTCTTAATAAATATTTGTTGACTGACTGATTGAAAACCAGCCAAAAATATATTTGTGATATTAGATCTTGGCCGTCAAAATGTAGCTTCAAAGACTCCAGGATGAGATGAAGTGTTGCTAATTATAGAGATCCTCAACAATAGGAAATTGTGAAAACAGGCCTGATTTTATCTTGTCACATAAAAAAGAAGCCTCCTTTATAACAAATATGTGGAGTCAGGAAAAATGCAAGCACATATTGGCTGTTTTAGAAACATATGTCTCATTCTCAATGAATGAAAGACGCAAGAGAACCATGAAGAGATAAACAGGAAAGAGAAATCAAAAGGCACTTATTAAGGTTGAACTGTTTACATTCCTGCAAGGAAAGATGATATTTGTAACTCATGAGACCTTTGTCAGTATTAGGGTAGTTGGAGGGAAAAAATTATATATATATATATATACATACATACATGTATGGAGAGAGAGAGAGAGAGATAGGTAGATAGAGGGCACAGGGTGAGTTGAAGATGAAGGGGTGATATATGGAGAATAAAATTAAGGGGTGAGAGGATTATACTGGGAGAAGGAGAAAGGGAGAGGCAGAATGGGGGTAAATTATCTCACATAAAACAGACAAGAAAAGGCTTCCAAGAAGCCTTTCAAGAAAAACCCTTCCAAGAAAAATTTCCACAGTGGAGTGGAAATGGGGGAAAGTGAGAGGGAATGGGTGAATCTTATTCTCATTGGATTTGGCTTAAGGAGGGAATAACATACACACTCAGTTGGGTATGGAAATATATCTTACCCTACAGGAAAACAGGGGGGGAAGGGGACAAGAGATCAGGGAGATGATAGAGGGGAGGGCAGATTGGGGGAGGGGATAATCAGAAGCAAACACTTCAAAGGAAGGACAGGGTCAAAAGAGAGAATAGGATAAACGGCAGGATAGGATGAAGGGAAATATACTTAGTTTTTCACAACAGGACTACTATGGAAGGGTTTTGCATGACTATACATGTATAACCCATGTCAAGTTGCTTGCCTTCTCAATGAGGGTGGGTGGTGAGGGAGGAAGGGAGAAAATTTGGAACCCAAAGTTTTAAAAACATGTTAAAAAAAATTGTTTTCACATGCAACTGGGAAATAAGATATACAGGAAATGGGGTATAGAAATCTGTCCTGCCCTACAGGAAAATTGAAGGGGAAAGGGATAAGAGAAAGGGATGGGGAGAGACAGAAGGGAAGGCAGACTAGGGGAAAGGGCATTCAGAATGCATGCCATCTTAGGTTGGGGGAAGGATGAGATGGGGAGACAATTTGGAGCTCAAAATCTTGTGGAAGTGAATGTTGAAAACTGGAAATAAATAAATTAAGGAAGAAGAAAACGAAAACTGCAAGCACACATTGGCTGTTTTAGAAACATGTCTCATTCTGTACCTTTAGCCCATCACTTCTCTGTTAGGAGGTGGATAGCATAACATATTATCTATCCTCCAGAGTCATGATTAGTCACTGGAATTCCAAAGTCTTTCAGAGTTTATCTTTACAGTCTTGTTCTGCTCATTTCATTCTGCATCAGCTCATACAAGTCTTCTTAAATTTCTCTGAAACCAACCCTTCTGTCATGTGTAGGGGCTCATTAATGTTGCATAACATTTATACACCATAATTTGTTCTGCCTTTCTCCTGGAAAAATAGACATACTTGAAGCAGATAAACACGGAAACTGCGTCATGCTTAAAGGCAACATCTACAATGAAATAATATCAATATTTTACTTCTATGCACTAATGATATAGCATTTATTTAAACATAACACAAAAGAAAAATGAATCAAATTACAGGGAAACATATACAACAAAACCATTCAGTTCATTTTGATCAAAAGTGGTAGTCCAAGTGAGAGGCCTAATCATTTCAGCTAAGCATCAAGACCTTCCTGAATGTGAATATACTTACAAGTTTGAGACTTCAATATTTTAAAAATATTTGTTTTGGAATTCTCAGAGCCTTGAACACTGTAAGAATTGCTCTTCTTGTCACCGGCCAACTTCTTGCCTCCTCCAAGGAGTTCTGCATAAGCGGTCATCCCTGGTTGAGCAGGATTGTGTTGGGTGTTTCAGGAGTCAGTGACATTCAAGGATGTGGCAGTGGACTTCACTGAGGAAGAGTGGCAGCACTTGGGCCCTGCTCAGAGAGACTTATACAAAGAAGTGATGCTGGACAATTATAGGAATCTTGTCTCCCTGGGTAAGAACAACTTTCCTCTGCTGTGATTTAGGATTTTCGCATAGAGATGAGGGAGGGAGGAGGGATTGGAATTCTCAATTCCTGGAGCCTGTGGGGAGTTTCTGTAATACTTGGCTGTCTCATTGGTATGCAGTGATATTCAGTAGTGCATGTAATACAGGCGATCTCTAGGCCCTTTGAGATCAGGTGACTAGGTGTTTCTGCTCCTGTTCCCAGGTGCTTTCTTTTTTACACCTGGAAATCATAGCTTTATAGTTCTGTCCCTGTAGCTGCAACTTTCTCGTTCACTATTTCATTCAATGAGAAGTTTTTTTCCTAAAGCACCAGGGCAGATTCCTGAAGATATGAAATGTTCTCATGTCTTTATTATCTTTAAATGAGTTTTTATTGATATAATTTGGGGTTTTTTTGAATCATCATAATTTCATGCAGTATCCTTCCCACTACCCCTTCTAGAGAGCCATCCCATATAACAAGTAATATTTTTATTTGTTTTTATTTATTCTTTTTTTTTTTTCGTAAGGCAATTGGGGTTAAGTGACTTGCCCAGGGACACACAGCTAGTAAGTGTCAAGTGTCTGGTCTAAGACCACATTTGAACTCAGGTCCTCCTGACTCCAGGGCCAGTGCTCTATCCACTGTGCCACCTAGCTGCCCCCCAAAAATAATATTTTTAAAGACAGAAAAAAAAGAGGAAAAAATCAGTATAATTGATCAATACATTGAAAAAAATCTAAAAATCTGTGCAATGTATAACACTTGTGGGCCTTCCCCACCTCTGCAGAGGGGTGGGATGGGAGTGTCTTCCACACTCTCCTTTTAAGACAGACTTATTTGTTCTATGTAATTTTGCAACAATTTTGATGTTTTTATGGTGGTTGTTTCTGTTAACATTGTTGGAGGCGTTGTGTGTGTTGCTGTCTTGTACATTGCTATCTTGTACATTGCTGTCTTGGCTCTGCTTACTTTACTCTGCATCAGTTCATGTAGATCTTTCCATATATCTCTGTGTTCCTCACATCCATTATTTATTATAGCACAGTAAAATTCCATTATATTCACAGACCATCATTTGTTTAGCCATTCCCCAATCAATGGGCATCTATTTTGTCTTCAATTCTTAGCTATCACAAAAAGTGGTGCTGTAAAACTTTTGGTGTATGTGAAAACTTTGTTTTTATCAATGATCTCCTTGGAGTATAAGCCTCAAGGTATTGGAATCTCTGGGTCAAAGAATATGGACTTAAAAAAAAATTATATATTTTTTCAAATAACGTGTAAAAACAATTTTTAACATTCATTTTAAAAAATTTTGAGTTTCAAATTCTCTCTCTTCCTTTCACACTCCCCCGCCTCCTCCTTGAGAAGGCAAACAATGTGATATAGATTATACATGTACAGTCATGAAAAACATATTTCTGTATTAGCAATGTTGTAAAAAAACAAAAACAAACCACAGATCCCCCCAAAAAATATCCCAAGAAAAATAAAGTAAAAAAATTGTGTGCTTTGATCTACATTCAGACTCCATTAGTTCTTTTCTGAGAAGGTGGGTTTAGCGTTTTTTTCATCATGAGTCCTTTGAATTATCTTGGATCATTTTATCGCTGAAAATAGCTAAGTCATTCACAGTTGATCATTGTACAGTATTGCTGTTACTGGACACCGTGTTCTCCTGGTTCTGCTCACTTCACAAAATATGGAATATTTCATGAATTTGCCCGTCATCTTTGTGCAGGGGCCATGCTAATCTTCTCAGTATTATTTCAGTTTTAATGTATGTGCTGCCAACGAGAGCATGTTCTCATTCCTCTATCATGGATTAAGTCACTTAAACCATTTTTCTTTTTGATTCCAAATTCACTTTATAACACATTTCCCAAATCTGCATGGAACATAATCCTATAGAGGTCCTTTCTATAATCTACTGGGCCTTCCTGGTCCATTTTTTCCCTGGTGTGGAAAAAACCAATATTTAAAATAACAACTTACATCCATACAGAGCAGTAAGGTCCAGAAAACACTGCATGTATTACCTTGTTTGGTCCTTGCAAGTGATTAGTACAGTGCCTGGCACATAGTAGGAGCTTTTTAAATGTTTATTGATTAATTGAATTGATTCATTACAAGAATCCTGTGAGTAAGTAGTGTTTTTATCCTCGCATTTAGATGAGCAAACAGAGGCTTTGAGAGGGGCACTGAACTAGCTTATTGTCAAGTGAGATTTGAACCTAGCTCTTTGCTGCTTTGTGGGTCCACATTCTTCCTGCTTTGACACCATGCCTCTCCTGGGAAAAGGGTAGACTTGAATTCTGAAGTAACTTTGCCACATCTTTTCCCATGAGCAGGGCTTCTGATTTCCAAACCAGATGTGATCTTCCAATTGGAGAGAGGAGAAGCCCCATGGGTGCTGGAGGGTAAAGACTCTGGATTCACATGTGTGGGTGAGTAGGTGAAAACCAGGCAGATGGAAGGCCCGGCTGAGGGCAGCATCTCTTCTGAAATGTTGTACTGAGAGGTCTCCCCAAAGTCTCCCAGACTCATCCTGCCCTGAGCTTCTCTCCAATGAGCTTCCTCATATACACACATTCATCCTCACTTCAAGTAACCAGAGTCACAGAACATTACATGAGCATAGAGCCTGAGATGTCATAAGGTCCAACCCTGGAGTTAAGAGCTAAATAAACAGAGGCCCAAAGAGAATTGGCCCACTCAGAATCCCAAAGCTGACAAATGGAAGGATTGTGCTTTGAACTGCAGGTCATGCCGCCATGCTCCATGACACCACTAACTGTATTTCCCTTCTGTGCTTACATCCAGACTCAGAGAATGTTGTTCCTGCTTACAAACAATAGGCCCTCTCTCTGTGCCAGAAAGCCCCTTCTTTCCTGCCACCCCCTGGAATTTTCCTCCTGCTCCTAAATCTTATTCTCTCTTTCTCACTTCATGTTTTCTGTTCCTTTTGCTTTCAGATACATATGTGTAGCATTCACATATCTATATCTGTCTAGATCTCTAGATCTCTATATCTAGATCTATATTTCTATCTGTATCCATATATCCATGTCTCTCTAGATAGATGGATTTAGAGCTCTAGATAAAGAGATCTATAGGAATCCTAAAATCTTGGCTATTTCACCATTTGGTTTCTTACCTTACCTTTGTTGATAAATTCCTCAGATACATCATTCATATTCATCCCTCTTCCAACTTAAAATCCTGTAGTTTGAATTTTTTTGTGTTAATCTATGGAAAATGCCTTTAAAGATCACCTTTGATTGTGTGACACTAATAGTAATAGCCTACATGTATGAAGCCCCTGAAATTTAGAAGGCCTTCAAAAAACCCTAACCATGCATTGGGAAGGCATCTCCTGTCACTTCCTTTGTGCAACCAAGATTAATTTTCTCCTTGGAGCTTATTGTGGTCTAGGGTGTCAGATTTTGATCTAAATCCCACTGCTGGGTTGAAACAGCATCTTCGACAGCATTTGCTACAATAAACTACAAGTAAGATGATCTTTGATAGGGATAAGTATAACATTTTGCCCTTGGATTAAACAAAATCAGCTTCACAAGTACAGGTTATGGGATGGGTAGGGAGCGGTTCCCCTGAAAGTGACATGGGAGTTGTACCATGCTGTACCGTCCAGTAGGAGAAAACAGTGTGAAGTGTCAGCCAAGAAGGCCAAGGTGCCCTTGAGCTCCATTTAAAAAGATATTGTAGGGGCAGCTAGGTGCCATAGTAAATAGAGCACTGGCCCTGAAGTCAGGAGGACCTGAGTTCGAATCCGGCCTCAGACCAAACACTTGACACTTACTAGCTATGTGACCCTGGGCAAGTTACTTAACCCCAATTGCCTAAAAAAAAAAAAAATTAAAAAATAAAGTTAAAAGATATTGTGTCCAGGAACACAAGGATGTGATAGTCTCACTGAATCGTACCCTTGTCAGACCACATTGAAGTACTGTATTCAGTTCTGACCATAGCTTTTTAGAAAGGACATTAATAAGCAAATTTCCTGTAAGATCTATGGACAGAGGAAGAGTTTATGACCAAACAAGAGATAGAAAGGTTCATGGGAGGTAAAATGGAAAATTTTGATTACATAAAATTAAAAAGTTTTTGCACAAACAAAACCAGTGCAGCCAAAATGAGAAGAAAAGCAGGAAACTGGAGGAATATCTTTGTAGCCAGTTTGTCTGATAAAGGTCTCGTTTCTCAGCTATGTAGGCAACTGCCCCAAATTTATGAGAATAAGAACCATTTCCCAATTGATAAAGGATCAAGGGATATGAATAGACATTTTTCAGAGGAAGAAATCAAAGCTATCTATAGTCTTGAAAAAATGCTCTAAATAACCAATAATTAGAGACATGCAAATTAAAACAACTCTGAGGTACCACCTCATGCTCAACAGATTGACTGATATGACAGAAAAGGATGACAAATGCTGGAGAGGATGTGGAAAAATAGGGACAGTAGTACACTGTGGGTGTAAGCTGTGAGCTAGTCCAACCATTCTGTAAAGCAATTTGGAACTGAGCCCCAAAAGCTATTAAACTGCGTACCCTTTGACCCAGCAAACCACTACTAGGTCTCTACCCCAAAAAGATCAAAGAAAAAGAGAAGGTACCCAAATGTACAACAATACTTATAGCAGATTTTTTTGTGGTGGCAAAGAATTGGAAACTGAGGAGGAGATGGCCATCAACTGGGGAAGAGTTGAACAAGTTATGGTTTATGAATGTGATAGAATACTGTGATTTCAGAAAAACACAGGGAGACATGAACTGATACAAAGCGAATTGAGTTGAATTGTGAAGATAGTCAACTGTGAAAGACTTGGTAACTGATAAACGCAGTGACTTGGCACATTTCCGAAGGATTCATGATGAAAAGTGCTGTCCGTCTCCGGAGAGAGAGCTGATGGACTTAGTGCAGATCTAAGTACATGTTTGTTTTTCTTTTTCTCATTTTTTCCCTCAAAACATGGCTAATGTGAACATTGGCTTTACATTACTTCATATTCTACTTGGTTTTGTATTTCTTGGCTTCTCAATTAGGGGGAGGGGAAGAGAGAATCTGGGCTGAAAATAAAATAAAATTGAATGAAAAGTAAACAGACAGAAATGGAATTGGGTGGCCACTTCGAGCAAAAGGTGGTGACAACTTGTCAGCTCTGTTGTAGAGGGCATCCTTTTACAGCAATGGTGAGACTAGCTGGTCCTGGGATTCCTTTTAACTTTGAAACTTTACCATGCGTAGTGAGGAGATTCAATAACTTTCAATAGCTTATCTTCTCATGTTGTCTTTGGGGTCATTAGGTCATTATAATCAGTTTCAGTTGTGACATCATCATCGTCATCATTATTGACTTTTGTTATCTTTGCCAAACATAGGATTGAGGTAGAACATCAGAATTATTTTGATTTGTCTCCTTTATTAATATTTTGGAGCAAGATTGTTATTGATCTCGTGATGGATTTTACTGATCAGCATTTTCTTTTCTAGCTACTTACAAGTTATCTATCTGTTTGTTAAGACTGTAGAACTTTGCTAAAAATAAGCACCGTGGTTACCAGTCTCTAGTTTGTGGGATCAAACTTTCCTCCATTTTTGAAAATTGCATTATTTTCCTAAAAATGATTAATTTTTACCTGCCATCTACAATTATTTCATAATCCACTTAGTACTCGATACCTAAAACCCTTTAAAGCAGCTAGGTGCTCTGTTGTTGTTTCATTATGTATCTCAAGCATCAAATTATACCTCGCATTATATTTGTTCTCTCTAGCATGTCACTCATTTTTCTTCTGAGTAGAAACAGACTCTAGAATGTCCTCTATGACAGTTTACTTTCTGCCAGCACAGAGAATAGTGGAGATTGACCCTTTTTTATTTCTTTCAGGGTTCCTTAGTCCAGAGACCCTGTATGAATCAGCGGAGTCAACTCCGGAACAAGGCATTTCTCTGGAAAAGTCATCTGAAAAGAAACTTAAGACAGGTGGTCCCTGGGATAACAAAGTAGAAGAAGCCTGGGAATGTGATATTAGATCAGAGCAACTGAAGTCTAACCAGGAAAGACAATCCAGGCAACAGACAACTGTACACAAAAAAAGTTGGGCTAAGTTTAATTCTAATGAATCTTGTATATTTGGAAGTTTCAGTTTGGTATCAAACCTCATTCCGCAACAGGAAATTCATAAAGTTAAAAGGTTTCAGAAATGTGGCACATACGGAAAGAATTTCAAAAAGCGTATAGATCCAAGCAAATATGATAGGCTCTTTTCCAGGAAGAAGCCATGCAGGAAGTCACGAAGTTACTCCTCAGACTTTATTCAGCCTCATAGAAAACATACTAAAGAAAAAACATATGAATGTGGGAAAGTCTCGAGGAATAGTAAATCTTACAAAAATTGTCAGAGAATTCATATTGTACAGAAAACCTTTGAATGTTATGAATGTGGGAAATCTTTTAGCTGTTGGAACTACATTACTATACACCAGAGAATTCATACTGGAGAGAAGCCCTTTAAATGCAAGGAATGTGGTGAATCTTTTACCTGGTATAGACAGCTTACTGAACATAAGAGAATTCATATTGGAGCAAAGAAGCCCTTTGAATGTAATCAGTGTGGTAAAGCCTTCAGTTTAAGTTCTGACCTTACTCGACATGAGAAAATTCACACTGGAGAGAAACCCTTTGAATGTTATGCATGTGGGGAATCTTTTACCTGGCCTTCACAACTTACTGAACATAAGAGAATTCATACTGGAGCGAAGAAACCTTTTGAATGTAATCAGTGTGGGAAAGCTTTCAGTCGAAGTGCACACCTTATTGTACACCAGAGAACTCATACTGGAGAAAAACCCTTTGACTGTTATGCATGTGGGAAATCTTTCAATCGTAGTGAGAACCTTACTCGACATGAGAGAATTCATACTGGAGAGAAACCCTTTGAGTGCAAACAATGTGGGAAAAACTTCAGTTGCAGAAGCTACGTTAAAATACATCAGAGAATTCACACTGGAGAGAAACCTTTTTAATGTAATGAATGTAGGGGATCCTTTATCTGGCATACTTAATTTACTGAACAGGATAGAGTTCATTTGCAGATAACCCATTTAATTGTAGTAAATGTGAGAAATCTTTTAGCTACAGGACACAGCTTATTGTAAGTAAAGATTTGCACTGAATATTAAACTTTTGAATGTAATCAATGTGGAAAGGTTTTCAGCTGCTATTATTGCTTTGCTTGACTTGAGAGTATTCATATAAATGAGAATAAGATCATAGATTTAGGCCTGGAAGCAACCTTAGAGTAGGGTCATGGATCCTTTTGGAAATCTGGTGAAGCCTATGAATCCTTTCTCAGAATAATGTTTTAAATATATAAAATGAAATATATAAGATTACAAGGAAACTAACTATATTGATATACAGTTAGCAAAACGTTTTTTCAAAAATTCATGGACCCAGGTTTAGAGTCTCTGCTTTGCAGACAAATCTAGTCCAAACACTTTATTTTATAGATGATGAAACGGAGGCCCAGAGAAGGGAAATGAGCTATTTGAGGTGACACATGTAGTAAGTGACAGAGATAGGATCTGAACAAAGCCTCTCTGACTCCCAGTCCAATGCTTTTTCTCCCTCCTGTGCTGAGTCCATCTATTATAATTTGCACCTGGACAGTTAACTCCTCTGCAGCATCACTGATAAGTGGCCATCTCTCCTTTGCATGAAAACTTTCATTGAAAAGAGAACCCATCATTTCATTTGGCAGTCCTTTCCAATTTTGGACATTTCTATTGGAAAATTTTTCTGTATTTCAAGCTTTAATACCTTTCTGCAGAGTTCATTACTTCTATGATGTGCAAATAAACTGTGACAGCAAAATGATTTTGTTGACATGCAACAAACCTTGAGATGTTTTTTGTTTTTTTTTACATTTCTAAAATTTAAGAAATATGCAGCATATCCTCCTTTTGCCACAGTCATTTGTTTGATGTGATTTGGCATTGCAGTTACAAGATTTCAACACATTCTTTTTCTTCTTTGTTTTTTTTTTGTTTTTTTTTTTGGGTGAGGCAGTTGGGGTTAAGTGATTTGCCCTAGGGTCACACAACTAGTAAATGTCAAGGATCTGGTCTGAGGTCAGATTTGAACTCAGGTCCTCCTAACTCCAGGGCCTGTGCTCTATCCATTGTGCCACCTCGCTGTCCCCAAAACCATTCTTTTTCATACCTGTAACAAATAGTTTATTTTTCCAAGTCTAGCTTTATTGTAGCCCATAGTTTTAAATTGGGTTTAAGTCATATGAGTTCCCAGATCATTTGAAGCAGGTTTATCTCCATCTCTTGGAGAAATTTTATTAATCTCATGATGTTTAGCATCGTGCAAGTTGGAGTTGCAGTATTCAATCTCCATTTGGGATTTTTTAAATTCTGGAACTGTTCTACTTCTCAGTATATCAGTATACTTAGCAGGGTTCATCAATCCCTTGGTAAGGTAAAACTTCCAGGTGCTCAAGAAATCATTAAGATGTTGGTACCTCCCAGGTTTACCTGGACTTCTTCAGAAAATGGTTTTGGCAAGTTGTGGTATATGAATGTAATGAAATACTGTTGTTCTATAAGAAAAGAAGAGCAGGTGGACTTCAGAAAAACCTGGAAAGACTTATATGAACTGGTGCTGAGTGAAGTGAGCAGAACCAAGAGAACATTGTACACAGTAACAGAAACATTGTGCGATGATCAACTGTGTTAGACTTAGCAATACAATGATGCAAGACAATTCCGAGGGACTCATAATGGAAAATGCCATCCACGTCCAAAGAAAGAACTGTGGAGTCTGAATGCAGATCGAAGCATACTATTTTCAATTTTTTTTGTTTTTTCTTTCTCATGGTTTTTCCCTTTTGTTCTGATTCTTCTTTCACAACATGACTAATGTGGAAATATGTTTAACATGATTGTACGTGTATAACCTGTGTCAGATTGCTTACTGTCTTGCAGAAGGGGGAGGGAAGGGAGAGAGGGGAAAAAATTAGGAACTCAAAATCTTACACAAATGAATGTTGAAAACTATCTTTACATATAATTGGGGGTAAAATACTATTAAGTGCAAAAGAAAAAATGGTTTTGTGATAGCCACGAATGAAAAGGTAATTTTTTCCAGTAAAAATGATGATTTAGGGGCAGCTAGGTGGCGCGGTGGATAGAACACAGGTCCTGAAATCAAGAGGACCTGAGTTCAAATCCGACCTCAGACCAAACACTTGACACTTACTAGCTGTGTGATCCTGGGCAAGTCACTTAACCCCAATTGCCTGAAAAAAAAAATTTTTTTCATTATTCACGTTTTTATGAAAACAAACAATTTTTTCTTCAGAGCACCAGTTAGCACCTGAGTTATTTTTCAAGTGATCTTTGTGCTGTTCTGACTTCAAGAAGTCAGCGCCATCCTGTAGAGTAATCAACAACTCTTTTAATTACCAGGCCCCTCTGAAGGACTTGCTTATTTTTTGAGGATTAATTAGATTTCTTTATAGCGATAGTTTGTCAGTTCTTGGCACTAATTTTCATTTTCTTTTTTTTGCTGCCTTTTTGCATACAAAGATGAGTATTGCTTAAGAACAGTACATAGTAACTTTGCCCATGGTTTCTAGTAGCAAATCTAAAATAATTAGCATTTTGCCTCTTAATTCAGTTACATAAATTGGAAGGTGATTACCATTTTCTAAAACAATAATAATTTATAAACATCTTTTTATGTATTTTTTTCCAGGCAAGTGGGGTTAAGTGACTTGCCCAGGGTCACACAGCTAGTAAGTATCAGGTATTTGGTCTGAGGCTGGATTTGAACTCAGGTCTTCCTGATGTCAGGGTCAGTGCTCTATCCACTGCACCACCTAGCTGCCCCTTATAAACATCTTTTTAAAAAATCTGTTAGAGCCTATATCAGGTTTACCTTTCATCACTGAATCTTTGCGTAAAGTAAAATGGTTGTTTTCTGGATGCCAGCTAAATGTGTTTCATTTTATTCCAGGTTTACGAAGCCATCATTAAAACATGGTTTTAACCCAGCTATACAATTTAAGATAAAATGTAAGAATTTTAAGAATTTTCTTTGTCTTTACTCATTCAAATCAGGAACTCTTTCAGGGTCCTTGTAGGCCTTCCTGTCATTCCTTTCTTCAGATATAGAATCTCATCTTATTTGTCATCAGTCCTGCTGTATCCAAATGAGCCCATTTAGAATGGGTGACAGATTCCTTCAGGAATGCCACCACTATCCAACCTTCTCCAGATCTCCTTCTTCCCAATATTAATATCACCAAGTTGATAATCTATGCCCTGTCTTGTATAATGTTCAAAGAGAGAAATTCTCCACCTGTGGTCCCGTTTCACAAAGTTTTGTCCACAGCCAGGATGAATTGGTAAAAACTCAGATGGTGCCTGACCCCAAAGCTAAGTCCATGGCACCAGTTAATGTTACAGCATTTATTATGACCTACGGGTTAAAAACATGTGGGCGTAACAGAGAGCATCAGCTAGTACGAGCCTCCCCTCTGTGCCTATATTATCGACTTCCTATCGTTTTTTTCACTCTTCACTGTAACAACATCTCTTGGTTTGCTTTTTTTTTTTACTTCCCATGGGCATATTTTCACAAAGTGGAGCCAAACCAGTAAGATTAAGTGGTGAGTTTAGAGTCGCTGCCGGGATGATGGTTGCACATATAGTTGCTTCACATCTTGTGATTTTCATTTTCAACTAAACTTTTCACTTCAGTGAAATTGTTCATTTTCTTTTGGTTTTGGGTGATCTTTGACACGCTTGATTTCCCCACAGAAAAACCAGTGCTGTCTCTCTTAACAGTTACTTAAGAGTGCTCTTTAAGAACTATAACCACTGCATGTTCCTTTGGAGAAATAGCTGTTCTTAAAATCCACAGAATCAACACATCAAAAGAGCAATGAAATGTGTATATGAGGCATGAAATCCAGCACTCAGCTGGCAGAGAACCAACTCAGGATAGGGAATTAAGCTCTTATCTGGTTTTAGCCAGTCGAGGTCAGATGTTCTGAGTCAGCCACTGTACTTCTGGGTGCTTGGGCCAAATTGGAGTGGGTGGCAGCAGCTGGAGAAATGGCATTCTTTTTCCACATGAAAGCTCAGCACTTACCTGAAAGCTGCTAGCAAGTCTCCCATAAGCCTTTTCTTCTCTAGGCTGTTCAACCTCACCTTCCCTACCAGTTTTTGGACACACTCCAGGGTGTCTGAGTTATTCCTGAATCATGATACTGGCAGCTGAATGCAATACTTTAGATGTGGTCTTTGCACAGCAAAGCACTACTGTCACCTCTCATTCTCTGTACTTTTGCTTCTCACTGCATTATAAGATAGCATAACTTTTTGGGCTTCAGTGTCCTTCCTCTGGCCCCTTCTCCCTTCCCCCTCTAGCTTTATGTGATGATGGAGGACACTTTGAGAAATTCCTTCGCATGTATCCCATTTAGCTCCATGGATGCTAAGGAACTTTATTTACCTTTTGGCCACCTTGCTGCATTAGAGACAAACATCTTGTTTCTCCTTATACCATCATCAGTTCATCTCTTCCCTGTACTGCTTTTAACAAGCTTTGATAAATTATCGGCTGAATGGTTAATGTTAGATTCTAGAGAACCTTCAGAGAAGCGCTGCTTGTCTTTGAGTGGAGAGGGTTTGAAAGCATTGCTTTCAGGAAACATTCATCAGGTGCTTGTTTGCAGAACGCTGTAAGGCAGGAAAGACGATACACGTTTTAGCTAAGATGTAATTCCTGCCCTCATGTTACAGTTGCGTAAAGTGATTAGGTACCATATAGATAAGCGTTCTTAAGGAAATCTGACGTCATCTGTATGGATACTATCTCCTCTTTTCACAGATCCTTTCAAACCCAGTAGAATGTCTCCTAGTAGAAGGCCTTGGAAGTGGCTAGGTGGCTCAGCAGATAAAGAGCTGGGTCTGGAGTCAGGAACACCTGAGTTCAAATCCGGCCTTGGACACTTACTAACTGAACCCTGGGCAAGTCACTTAATATCTATTTTCTTAATGCACCGGAGAAGGAAATGGCAAACAATTCCTGTATCTTTGTGAAGAAAACCCCATGGACAGTATTGGCAAGCTGTGGTCCGCAGGGTCACAAAGTCAGACATGAGTGGATGAGAAGGCCTCCAAAAGCTTCTGTGTTGAAAAATGTCATCTCCCTACCGCCATTCTGGTGATGACCTCTTGAACTTAGCGAGGCTCGTCCACAGACAGCAAATAAATATATAGTTTAATTGGTAAACCTAGGAATTCCGTTGGATTGCTATGCTTCATCATTTTTGTGATTCTTTGAAAGTCTCTGGTTCTCCAGTATATCTGGCCTTTTATCTATTCCTCAGATACGGCAGTCAGTCGGCCCTCTGAGTCCCTTTCTGCAGGCTCTTCTTTGTGTCTGGAATGTACTCTGCTTTGCCTCTACTGCTCATAATTCCCATCCTTCTTTAGCTCCTAGGTTGGGTGCCACCCCTCCACCAGGCCTTTGCTGCCTCTTCAGGCGTTAATGCTATCTACCTCTTAAAATGTGCATCGCCTTGTATACCATCTGTATTTTCTTGTCCATGGACATGTTGTATTCCTTCAGTAGACTCTAAGTTCCTCAAAGCTGACAGTGACTAATTTTTTGTCTTTGCATCCCCAGCACTTAGCACAGTGCCTGGGACATAGTAGGCTTTAAACAAATGTCTGTTGACTTAAATTATGTTCTGGTGATTTTTTATTCTTACTGCTAATAAAAATAAGAATAACTCCTATCTAGACTCCTGAGAAAAATGATTAGCAGTTTGGTAAAAAAGAAAAAAAAAGGAAATAGCAGAGCATGTTGGACTTTATTCCACAATAAATCCCATTGGGTCAGTAATCAAAATTAAAAGAAAGATCAAACCACAAAATTTTTAATTTTTTAAAATTTTTTTTATTTTCAGGCAATTGGGGTTAAGTGACTTGCCCAGGGTCACACAGTTAGTGTCAAGTGTTTGCTCTGAGGTCACATTTGAACTCAGGTGCTCCTGAGTTCAGGGCTGGTGCTCTATCCACTGTGCCACCTAGCTGCCCCCCACAAAACTATTTTTTTTAAAAAAAGAATATTTTATTTTTTGTAATTATGGGCAGGATAAAAATTATTAAACATGTGGGACTTAAAAGAAATAAGACAACAGATTAATTCCACAATTTAAAAATGAATAGCAAGTTGTTAGTGTGCTCTTTCCCTTCTCAAATTACCCTTTATTTATCTGTTCCACTTGTGTCTCTCCAGGGGAAGGTAAGCTCCATGAGGACAGAGAACTTTTCATTTTTGCCATTGTGACCATAGTACCTAGCACAGTACCCTGTACATGAGTTTAATTTTTGTATTCTTTCTAACCCATTGACTATCCAGCCACATGGTACAGTGGAAACAATATTTGATTTCGAGTCAGAATTGGGGTAAAATTTTCAATTTAGGTTCAATGTCAAGGAAAAACTTCCTCATAATTTGGTTTGCCTCAAGATATGGTGGGTGCCTTTTTCTTGGAGATCTTTTTTTTTAATAGTATTTTATTTTTTTCCCAAGTATATGTAAAGACAATTTTTAGCATTCATTTTTACAAGATTTTGAGTGCTGAATTTTTCTCCCTCCTTCTCTCCTCTCCACTTTTCCTAAAATGGTAAGCAATTTGATAGAGATTATATATGTACAATCATGTAAAACATTTCCATATTAGTCACAGTTTTGAAAGAAGAAACAGACCAAAAGGAAAAAAACCAAGAAACTAAAGTAAGTGAAAATAGTACATTTTGATCTGCATTCAGAATCCATCAGTTCTTTATCTGGACGTGGATAGCATTTTCCATCCTTAGTCCATTGTAATTGTCTTGGATCATGGTGTTGCTAAGTCATTCGTAGCTGATTATCACACAATGTTGCTGTTACTGTGTACAATGTACTCCTGGGTCTGCTCGTTTCACATTTCACTTTGCATCAGTTCAGGCAAGCCTTTCCAGGTTTTTCTGAAATCTGCCTGCTTATTTCTTTCTTGGAGATCTCTAAGGAGCACCCGGAAGATCACTTGTAGGGTTGTGTTAGAATGGATTCCTTTATGGGCTGGATTGTAAAGATGATTGCTGAGGTGCCTCCCAACTCTCAGATTCTGTGGTTTAAATCTTGTCTTAACACCTTTATGGCCTTGGGCAGGTGGCTCGAGCTCTTTGGACCGCAGGTTCAACAGAGCTGGATTGATTGGAGTCTGAAGTTCTTTTACCTCTACATCTTTGACTCCATGATCCTTTCAGCTTTTGGATAACAGTTAATGTGTGCCATCTGGGAATTCTTCCAAGTCATTGGTAAAAAATGTTGAGTGGCACAAGCCTAAGGACATGCCCTTTGTGGACACTGGAGAATTCCCTTTAGGTTGACACAATCATGAGCACTGTGAATCCACCTTGGAGAAAGGGTTACTTGCTCTAACTTTGTGGCCACACTAAATTCCTTGATGAAAAATGAAAGGGCGTCTTTACTCAGCCCCGAAATAAGCAGCCCTTCAGCAATGGCTTTTAAAGATGCAGGAGTCTGGTATTGCCCCTCTGGTGGGGCTCCCAGAAGGGGCAGGGAACACTGACTGGGTGAGACCATGGGGCAGCTGTCAAGATGAACCTAGATCCCGGGACAGACTGAACAGAGGATACTCATGACTTCTTAGCCAGGTCACTGCAGGTGACCCTGACCGATGAGGAGGATCGGCGATCTGGGTTCCGTGGCTCTGATGTTCCTGGTGCCACTCTTGTCCATCAGCATCAGGAAATGCACTGTGAACTGCCTTGGCGTCACCCCCTGCACGTTTACAAGGACTTTTGTGATATTTGATGTTAATCTTCTTTTCTCTTTACCACTTGGACCAGACTGCTCCGTTTCAGTGGATACCAGGCTTCTCCCATCACTATTATTTATTCATTAACAAGGCTCAGATTAAAGGTGGGCTGGGGGGGATCCAATGTGGCAGATCATCCATTTCAGGTGCCAGGGGTATCAAGGAAGAGCTCTTGTCCTCACGGAGCTCACATTCTAGGGACCTCCTGCAGCGCAGGATTATAGTGGTCGAGCTGGGAGGGGGCCCCCCCGCATTCCACAGATGAGGAGGTGCTGAAGGTCACTGCGGTCCACAGCCACCTTGCCAAGCTGCCCCTTTGTCACACATAATAGCTATCACGTGTGGAGTGCTTTAAGGTCCGCAAGATGCTTTACATAGGCTATCTCATTTGACCCTCACAAAGTCCCTGTGATCCCCATTTTAGAGGTGAAGAAACTGAGGCAGGGAGAAGTTAAATGACACGCCAATCAGGGTCCAGTGTGGTATCACGTACGAACAGGAAATGCACAGATAGATATAAAGTGACTCGTGGGGGCCCGAGCACCAGGCAGCCGTCCCAACGTCCAGTCTTCTTCCCCTGGAGTTCCCTCTCCCCAGGATCTGCCCTTATCCTGTGCCCTGGGCTGGCAGGTGTAGGCATGCGCCAAGGTGCTCTTGGCCTCTGGACTACGTTTCCCAGAAGGCCTTGGGGAGGTGGTCTTTGTTCTGGCCGGGGACCTAACGGTACCATAGGAAATGTCGGCGGCACCGGCCGGAAATGTCAGAGCCGGGCCCGGAAGTGCCCTCGGAAGGACTTCCGCCTCCTAGCTGTCTTTCTCCCTCAGGCTTGAGGCCCGAGGGCGTCTGGCAGGTGAGTGTCAGGGCAGCTCCCGGGTGTCCTGCCCCCGCCCTCCCCCGGCGGCCGGGGGCGGGGCTGGCTGAGGCCCCGCCCCCCCCCCCGCTCTGCGCTTCCCCGCCCCTTTCCCCCCCTCCTCCTCTTCCTCTTCGCCTTTCTCTTTCCCTTTGCTCCTTGCCTCTGGCGTCTGGTTGCACATCCCACCGAAACCGCCCTCTGCGGAGTTATTCAGGGTCCTGTCCTCATTCCCCTCTGCAGCCCGGGACGTGGCTGGGCCTCCTCCCCCCCCCCCCCCCCCCACCTCCCCGGGCTCCCGGGCCCCCCCCCCCCCCCCGCCCGGCTCTCCTCCTCCAGATCACGCCCTCTGACCCTGGGTGACCCCGGGGCTCTGTCCTGGGCCCTCCGACCCTCGCTGTGCACCCATTCCCCGGGTGACCCGTGGGTTTAACGACCATCCAGATCCGTGCCGATGATTCTCTGCTTGGTCACCGGCCTCCCTTCTCAGGCTGGACACCTGGAGCCCCGCGTGCCCACGACAGAGCTGCCGCCTTTCCCCCAGCCCCCCGGGCTCACGGTCGAGTTCAGGGGCCCCTGGGTCCCCAAGGGCGGCCGTTTGACCGGATCCAGCCTTCACAGCCATCCCCTGCCCCCTCCACGCCTGCACAGCCGGGCTGCGGCTGTTACCCTTGCAGCATCCCTCATCCATGCCCTCTTCTCCCCCGTGGTCCGGCGGCCACCCTGGTCCGGCCCTGGTCGCCTCTCGCCCCTGCACTCCTGCGATGGTCACTGGTGAGTCTTTCTGCCTCGGGTCCCTTCGAAGTCCATTCCACCCCGTGCGCTGCCCGGTGCGTTGGTAAGAACTCTGGATCTGGGAGGCCTGGATGCCAATCCTGGCTCTGCCGTGTGCCGCCTGTGCCTTGGACAAACGGCATGATTCCTCCGGGCCTTGGTTTGGTCATCTATAAAACAGGGGGTGCCGTGATCTCTTAAATCTCTCCTAGGCCTTACTCCCGGATCCTGTGACCTCCTTGCCTGTAGAAGCGTGCAGATGTGTTTGGAGGTCAGAAGGAATGTTTCTCAGGAATCCACTCTTTGGTTATTGGAGTGTGAAATTCAGCCTCTCCTGTGGCCCTTTTCCTTTATGCTGGGAGCAGGGGGCACGCTGGTGGCCGTTTATTTTTCCTAGTCCAGGGATGGGGAGCCTGCGGCGTTGACACCACATGTGGCCCCAGGTGAGGCCTTTTGACTGAGTCCGAGTTTTACAGAACAAATCTTTTTATGAAGGGGATTTGTTCTGTGAAGTTTGGATTCGATCAAAGGGCTGCACTTGAGGACCCAGGGGGCCACGTGTGGCCTCAAGGCTGCAGGTTCCCCACCCCTGATCTAGTCTCAAATCCTTTCATGGAGTTGGGGGTGGGGGTTTCTAATTTTGTCTGGGGTCAAGGAAATGCAGGCTCCTCTCATGTTTTCTCCTTCCCAGCTCTGCCTTCTGAGGATTCTGCACTTACCCAAAACAGAATGGCTCCTGTGATGCCAACATCTAGGTGTCAGGTGAGTTAGTTTTTTCAGCTTAATAGTATTTTTTTCCAATTACATGTAAAGAGAGTTTTCAACATTTACTTTTATAGGATTTTGAGTTCCAAATTTTTCTCCCTTTCTCCCTTCGCTCTCCGCTCCCCAAGACAGCAAGCAATTTGATATGTTATACATGTAGAATCATGTTAAACATATTTCCACATTAGTCATAGTGTGAAAGAAGAATCAGAAAAAAAGGGCAACTACAGGAAAGAAAAAAGCAACAAAAAAAGTGAACATAGTATGCTTTGATCTGCATTCAGACTCTTTAGTTCTTCCTCTGGATGTGGTCAGCATTTTCCATCTCAAGTCCCTTGAGCAGGGCAGCAAGGTGGGGCCAAATAGAATACGGGCCCTGGAGTTCAGAGGACCCGAGTTCAAATGTGGCCTCAGACAACTGACACTAGCTGTGTGACCCTGAGCAAGTCACTTCACCCCAGTTGCCTCACAAAACAAAACAAAAAAAACATGTCCCTTGAAATTGGCTTGGATCATCAAATTGCTGAGAAGAGATAAGTCTGTCATAGTTGATGGTTGCACACTGTTGCTGTTACTGTGTACAATGTACCCTTGGTTTTGCTCACTTCACTCAGCATCAGACCCTACAAGTCTTTCCAGGTTCTCCAGAAATCTACCTGCTTATCATTTCCTATAGCACAATAGTATTCCATTACATTCATATTCCACAACTTGTTCAGCCATTCCCCAATCGATGGGCATCCCCTCAGTTACCAATTCTTTGCCACCACCAAAAGAGCTGATATAAACATTTTTGTACACGTGGGTCCTTCTCCCATTTGCATGAGCTCTCTGGGATATAGTCCTAGAAGTGCTATTGCTGGTTCAAAGAGTATGCCCATCTTTATAGCCCTTTGGCGTAGTTCCAAATTGCTCTCCAAAATGGTTGGATCGTTTCACAATGAGTTGGATTTTCTTTGTTGAAATAATATTCAGTTTTTTGGAGTATGGACAATTCTCTCACCACTCCCATCTACCTTCTAGAGACTGGAACCTTAAGGAATGTTGTATGTTTTTTCCCTCTGGCCCCTGCCCATTTATTTCCTCAGGAGTTCATATATCCCAACTATATACTTGTTACCGGAGAGATCAAAGGAAAAGATCTGTATATACAAAAATATGTATAGGAGCTCTTTTTGTGGTGGCAAAAAATTGGAAACTGAGGGGATACTCATCAATTAGGTAATGGTTGGACAAGTTATAATAAATGAATGTGATAGAATACCATTGTGCTGTAAACAATTATTTAGGGGATAGTTTTGGAAAAACTTGAAAAGGCTTATATGAACTGATTCAAAGTGAAGTGAGTAGATTGAGAATACCTTACACGGTAACAGCAATATTATAAAGATAATCAGCTGTGAAAGACTTAGGAACTCTGATCAGTCCAGTAATCCACCACGGCTCCAAAGGACTCATGATGTTAAATGCTGTCCACCTCCAGATAGAGAACTGATGGACTCAGAGTACTGATTGAAGCATGTTTTGTTTTTTCCTTTATTTTTCTTGCTTTTTTTTCCTGGAACATGCCTAATGCAAAAATGTGTTTTGCATAACTTTGTATATATAACAGGTATCATATTTCTTGCTTTTTTCCTTTCTTTTTTTTTTTTGGCAGTTGGGGGTAAGTGACTTGCCCAGGGTCACACAGCTAGTAAGTGTCAAGTGTTTGGTCTGAGGTCAGATTTGAACTCAGGTCTTCCTGACTTCAGGGCTGGTACTCTATCCACTGCACCACCTAGCTGCCCTTTTGCTTTCTTAATGGATGAAAAATGAAAGATGGAGGGAGGCTGAGAACTTGGAACTTAAAAATAACATTTTTTAAAAATCCTACATACTCAGTACTGAACAAGCTGCCATGAGTAGTTAAAAAGACTCTTAATTGACAATCTTGTCTATCGCAGATATTTCTGTCTCCTTGAGAGGCAAGACCAACTATTTAATATATCTTATTCATGCATTTTCTAGTGTTCTTTTTTAAGTACCAAGTTGAGTAGGTGCAGACTATGAGAACTGAGTATTTTAGAGATTCAGAGAAGGAAGATGTTGATCTGGGATTAGGAAATCAAGGAAGACTTCTTAAAGGAGGTACATATTGAGTTGGCCCTTAAAATAGGTAGGATTTGGTTAGTTGGGGAGAGAGAATTAACATGTCATTTGTGGAAATCGGTAAAGAGTCTGGATTGCGTGTGGTAGGCAGATCATGATAGGTTGATAGGAGAAAGGGATGAGTTGGGGTGGATGTTTTCTGAGAATGAGTCTAGAACAACACTAAAATCACTTCCAGTTTTATAACAAGCCAACCTTTTTGTTATTTTGGACTTGATAGAGATCAATAAATATGAACATTTCCATATACAAAGAACCCAAAAAGAGGATTGCATACAGACCCTAAATTTCCATGATCTATAGCTTATATTTTTAATTCTATCATTAGTTTCAAAGCTGCTGTCAACAGAATGTTAAATGCATTCCAGACTGGACAAGCCCCTAACCTGAGGATGGCTGGAGCCAAATCAAAACAAGCCAAACCCTGGTATGTTAGGAATCAAGAAGCTAATTAATTAGTTTCAGAATGAGGAAAACACTTGCACGTGGAAGCCCCTCCCCCTTCCTGAGATTAGGGTACAGACAGTACTTATGTACATAAGCGGGCTGGACGATGACATAATTGTTCTTGGGTCCTAAGTAGCTGTTCCCATGGTAGCCTCACCTGTGAACAATGCAGATGATCCTGGTTCTGTGAGAACAGTGTCCAAGTGGATAGTCTCATAGCGGAGGACAGTGCCTGGTTCGGTTCACTTCCCTGTTGTAAGGAACAGGGATTGTGAGCAAGTCAAGCATGGTGATGGACGGCTTTCAGGTCCCTCGGTGAATGCCTAGTGCTTCGTCAAAGAAATACACTTTGCTAGAAGGTGAGATCATCCAGAGTGCTAAGAACTGTTGTTATGCCAAGCTCAGGGCACAGCCTGTTTGCTGTGCCTTAGTCTGGGAAACAGGGTGCCTCTAAAATATTTTCTTAATTAATTTATTTTGATTTATCAACAATCACTTCCATAAGCTTTTGAGTTTAAAATTTTTCTCCCCCTCTTTCCCCATCACCCTGCTCAAGATGGCACACAATCTGATATAGGCTATACATGTACATTCCTATTAAACTTATTTTCACATTAGTGATGTTGTAAGGAAGAATTAAAACCAATTGGAGGAACCACCAGAAAGAGGAAACAAAACTCAACTGAAGAAAAAAAAATAGCAAATAGTGTGCTTCGATCTGCATTCAAACTCCATTGTTCTTTGTTTGGATGTGGATAGCGTTTTCCATCATGAGGCCTCTGGAGATGTCTTAGATCCTTGTATTGCCGGAAAGGTCAAGTTTATCAACATTACTCATCACACAACGTGGCTGTTATTGTGTACAACATTCTCCTGGTTCTGCTCACTTCACTCAGCATCAGATCATACACGTGTTTCCAGGTTTTTCTGAAGTCAGCCTGTTCATCATTTCATGTAGCATAATAGTATTCCATTACATTCATATTCCACAACTTGTTCAGCCATTCCCCAATTGATGGGCAGCCTCTCAATTTCTAATTCTTTGTCACCACAAAAAGGGCTGCTATACTTTTGGTACATGTGGGTCCTTTTCCCATTTGTATGATCTCTTTGGGATATAGCCCTCGAAGTGCTTACTGCTGGGTCAAAGGGTATGCACGTTTTTATAGCCCTTTGGGAATAGTTCCAAATTGCTCTCCAAAATGGTTGGATCATTTCACAACTCCACCAACAATGCATTAGTGTTCCAGTTTTCCCACATCTTCTGCAGCATTTATCATTTTCTTGTTTTGTCATCTTGGCCAATCTGATAGGTGTGATGTGGTACCTCAGAGTCGTTTTGATTTGCATTTCTCTAATCAATAGTGATTTAGAGCATTTTTTCATGTGACTATAGATGGCTTTAATTTCTTCATTTGAGAGCTGCCTGTTCATATCCTTTGACCATTTATCAATTGGGGAAGGACTTGTATTCTTTTAAATTTGACTTGATTCTCTATATATTTTAGAAATGAGGCCTTTATCAGAGAGACTGGTTGTAAAAATTCATTCCCAATTTTCTCCCTTCCTTCTAATCTTAGTTGCATTGGCTTTGTTTGTGCAAAAACTTTTCAATTTAATGTAATTAAAGTTATCCATTTTGCTTTTTGTGATGTTCTCTATTTCCCGTTTGGTCATGAATTCTTCTGTTCTCCATAAATCTGATAGGTAAGCTATTCCTTGCTCTCCCAGTTTGCTTACAGTATCAGCCTTTATATCTAAATCATGAACCCATTTTGACTTTATTTTGGTATATGGTGTGAGATTTTAATCAGTGCCTAGTTTCTGCCATACTCTTTTCCAGTTTTACCAGCAGTTTTTTTTTTTCAAAGAGTAGGTTCTTATCCCAGAAGCTGGGGTCTTTGGGTTTATCAAATAATAGATTACTATAGTCATTGACTACTGCGTCTTGCATACTTAACCTGTTCCACTGATCTACCACTCTATTTCTTAGCCAATACCAAGCAGTTTTGATGATTGCTGCTTAATAATACAATTTAAGATCTGAAATGGCTAGTCCACTTTCGCCTGCATTTCTTTTCATTAGTTCCCTTGATATTCTGGACCTTTTTGTTCTTCCAAATGAGTCTTGTTATTATTTTTTCTAACCTCCAAAATATTTTCACACTGCCTTTTTGTCTTCTAAACTTTCCTGTTCTCTTCTGTGAGTAAGCTGATTTCTAGGAAAGATTGTTTCATTCGTCAGACTTGTAATCCCAGTGCCTGGCCCATAGTAGTCGCTTAATAAATACTTGTCTGTTGAATTTTTTAAAAATGCTACAAGTCTCTTTTCTTTTTTTTTTTTGTCCATGCTATGACTAACTCCACACTCTGCAAGATCACTGCCCCCAATCTAAAAAAAAAGTCCATGTAACAGATAAGTATAGTCAAACAAAACAAATCCACGTATTGGCCATGTCAGAAAACGTATCTTAATTTACATCTCCTGTTCCCACCTCTCTTTCAGGCACTGGAAAGCATTCTTAGTCATTGGTCCTCTAATATCATAGTTAGGCATTGCATTGATCAGAGAGTTCTTAAGTCTTTCAAATTTGTCTTTCTTTACATTGTGGTAGTTGTATAGGTGGTCCTGCTTCTGCTCACTGCACTCTGCATCAGTCCGTACAAGTCTTCCCAGGTCTCTCAGAATCCATTTCTTTCCTTGCTCCTCATATGGAACAAGACTTCACTATGTTCATATACCGTAATTCATTCATTCACTCTCCAGTGGATGGATATCCACTTTGCCTCCCGTTTTCTTGCTGCAACAAAAAGTGTTGCTGTAAATATTTTTTGTTCATTTGGGTCCTTTTTCTCTTTCTTCAATCTCTTTGAGTTATGTGACTGATAGGGAATGAATGAAGAAAAATGAATTTATTAAGGACTTGCTATGTTCCAAACACTATGGTAAGTGCCAGGGATTCAAAAAGAAAAAGTGCGACAGTCTTTGCTCTCAGGAAACTCTTACTCTGATTGGGAGAGACAAGTAAAAGAAAGTTCCATTGCAGAGTGAATGGCAAGGCCTGGAAGTCTTAGGGGCTTATCAGCAGGCAAATGGCAAGGCCCAGGGCTCCGTAGATCATCATTTGGTTGAGTGACAGTGCCGTTGTTCTGGAGGACATAGGGCACTGGCTGATGGTAAGGCCTGTGGTCCTTTGTCTCACTGAAAGGGGGAAAATGATGGGGGATGCAGGGAAAGCAGTTCTTAGGGGAAGTTTTATATCTCTAAATGCTTACATAAATAAAATAGAAAAAGAGGAGATCAATGAATTGGGCATACAACTAAAAAACTAGAAAAAGAACAAATTAAAAACCCTCAATTAAACACCAAATTAGAAATATTGAAAACCAAAGGAAAAATTAATAAAATTTAAGAAAACTATTGAACTAATAAATAAAACAGCTGGTTTTATGAAAAATCCAATAAAATAGATAAACCTTTGGTTAATTTAATTAAAAAAAAGAAAGAAGAAAACCAAATTACTAGTATCAAGAATGAAAAGGGTGAAGCTACCACCAAGGAAGAGGAAATTAAAGCAATAATTAGGAATTATTTTGCCCAACTATATGCCAACAAATTTGACAATCTTAGTGAAATGGATACATATTTACAAAAATATAAATTGCCCAGATTAACAGAAGAGGAAGTAAAATACTTAAATAACCCCATCTCAGAAAAAGAAATTGAACAAACCATTGATCAGCTCCCTAGGAAAAAATCTCGAGGGCCAGGTGGATTTACATGCGAATTCTATCAAACATTTAAAGAACAATGAATTCCAATACTATATAGACTCTTTGGGAAAATAGGTGAAGAAGGAGTCTTAGCAAATTCTTTTTATGATACAAATATGGTGCTGATACCTAAACCAGGAAGAGTCAAAACAGAGAAAGAAAATTATGGACCAATTTCTATAATGAATATAGATGCAAAAATTTTAAACAAAATATTAGCAAATAGGTTACAGCAACTTATCACAAGAATAATACACTATGATCAGGTAGGATTTATACCAGGATTGCAGGACTGGTTCAATATTAGGAAAACTATCAGCATAATTGAGCATATCAGCACCAAAACTAACAGAAACCACATGATCATCTCAGTAGATGTAAAAAAAGCTTTTGACAAAATACAACACCCATTCCTATTAAAAACACTAGAAAACATAGGTATAAATGGAGTCTTCCTTAAAATAATAAATAGCATCTATCGAAAACCTTCAGCAAGCATAATATGTAATGGGGACAAGCTAGAAGCATTTCCAGTAACATCAGGGGTGAAACAAGGAAGTCCATTATCACCACTGTTATTCAATATCGTACTGGAAATGTTAACTGTAGCAATAAGAGAAGAAAAAGAAGTTGAAGGTATTAGAATAGGCAAAGAAGACACAAAGCTATCACTCTTTGCAGATGACATGGATACCTAGAGAATCAAGCAAAAAACTACTTGAAATAATAAACAACTTTAGCAAAGTTGCAGGCTCTAAAATAAACCCACATAAATCACTGGCATTTCTATATATTCCAATAAAGGAGGAGAAAGTCATATGAACATCAGAGCACCCCAGATGTATTCTGGGAAGCCCAGAGTTGGGAGAATGTTGGCAAATTAAAAAGGTAGTAAGGGGAAAGGGTGCGAGGTAGTTCTTGCCTCCACACCATTCCATCAGGGAAGGTTCTGATGAGTCAGATGACATGCACGTTTTAGTGACTTCTGGGATATTATTCCTTTCCATATGGCTTGACTAAAACATAGCTGTACCAACGGTGTGTTAGTGTGTGTGTCTGTGCACAGCCCCTCAACAAGTATCATTTTCTGCTTTTATTGCCCTTGTCAGTCTGAAGGGAATGAGGTAGAATGTCAGTTATTTTAATTTTCATTCCTTCTGTTTTTGGCGACTTGGAGCATTTAAGAAATATAAGTACTGATAGCTTGAATTTCTTCCCTTGAGAACTTCTTGTTCATATCCTTCAACTATTTATCTGTTGGACTTAAGAATGATTCCTGGGCCTTGCCGTTTGCCCCGCTGATGAACCCTTAGGACTTTCAGGCCTTGTCATTCACCCTGCAGTGGAACTTTGTTTAGTGGTCGCCTCCCCCAATCAGAGTGAGGGCTCCTTGAGAGCAGAGACTGTCTCGCTGTTTCTATTTGCACCCCCAGCACTTAGCACAATGCTTAGAACGTCATTCCCTAGAAGAGACGTATCCTTTGTTACTACATATTTTTGTCAATTCTGTGTGTATCTTGGCTAGCAGGCTTTCACTCCTCTCCCTGCCTCTGCTGACCTCTGGGTTGATTGCCTGCATCTACCCTGGCTCCCTTGGTCTGACCTGTCTTCTCAACTTTCCCGACGGGCACGTTACCTGACTTGTGTTGTGTCATAACTCCCACCTGCTTCTTGTGCTTATGACCGTCTTGTCCAGTTTGGACCGCATGATGGCCTTCCATTTATTTTCAGTCTTCTTTATCTTTGGCCTTTCTCAGATCCTTTTCGGGGTTTCTGTGAGAAAGGTGGGCTCCTCTACATTGCGCTTCCTCCTTTTAAGCTCCTCCTGGGTAGGGCACATCTGTCTGGATTGAGTGGAGCCAAATGACTTTATTAGAGGTGAGTATCAGGACACAAGGCTAAGAGCACGTGAGTACAAGAGGATGTGACTTGTTTTAGGCCTGCTTGGTGACCCAGAACTCTTTTTGTTTGTTTGTTTGTTGGTTTTGGCGAGGCAGTTGGGGTTAAGTGACTTGTCCAGAGTCACACAGCTAGTGAGTGTTATGTGTCTGAGGTCGGATTTGAGCTCAAGTCCTCCTGACTCCAGGGCTGGTGCTCTATCCACTGCGCCACCTAGCTGCCCTTCAGAATGTACTCTTGACATTGAATGATGAAACAAAACTACCTTAGATGTAAATTCAATCCAGTACAAATTTTGGCCCATAGTAGGCGTTTCTGAGGTATTTGATTAGGAATAATGAGAGTCCTGAATGTTGTGAGCACCATTCCTTCTCAACCAGACTAACTTTCTGTTTTCCCCAAGGATATCTTTATAAGAGATCACTTCTGGTCTGTTGGATTTTTAGGAAACATTGACTTTCAAGGATGTGGCGGTGGACTTCACCAGGGAAGAGTGGGGGCACCTGGGCCCTGCTCAGAGGGACTTATACAAGGAAGTGATGCTCGACAATTACAGGAACCTGGTGTCCCTGGGTAAGGACAACTTTTCTCCGTAATTCAGAATTCTACCCCCCTCACCTGACGCTAGGGTTTAGGAGGAGGTGTATGTGCTCACACATGGCAGTCTTTCTTGTCTCAATTTCTAGAGCCCTGGGTGTTTCTGAAGTACTCTGCTAACTCTGATGTTCTGTGAAGTCTAAGCATCTATTTAATATAGTACGTAATACAGATTCCTGAATCCTTCTAGGATCAAGACAAAGGGTGTTTCTGTTCTTTGTTTCCTGGAGAAAGACTTTTGCTTCATACTACTAGAAACTGGCAGCTTCATGGTCCTGTCCCATCTTCACCCTCCCCACTCTTCCACCAGCTTCAAGCATTTTCCCCCAAATGACCAAGGCAGATAACTGAAAATACGAAAGATTCTCATCCCAAATGGGGATGATGATAAGAGTGCCTGCCCACTAGGGTTGTGAGGATCAGAGACTGTATTTGTAAAGAGCTTAGCCCAGAGTGCTTGGCCCAGAGTAGGTGCCATAGAACTACTTGTTCCCTCTCTTCTCCGCCCCCACCCCCATTTCTCTCTCAGGTCAGGTCTTGTGAGCACATTTTCCTTTGGAGACCCTCTCCACTCTGTCACACATAATCAGTCAGTGAGCACTAATTACGTGATGGCTATGGAATGGGTTCTGTCCAGGTAAGGGCTGGTTTTGGAAAGACCAAAACAGTCCCTGCTCTCTGGGAGCTTCTCTTCTAAGAGGATAGACAGCATGCAGATAAGCAGATATCTACAAGATTCATAGAAGATGAAAGATAACCTTAGAGGGGAAGGCTTCAGCTGCTGTGGGAATGTGGATAGGCCTCCTAGCAAAGGTAGCATTCCAGTTGAGCTGAAGGAAGCCAGGGATTCTAAGATGTAGGGCTGAGGAGTGAGGGCATTCTAGGCATGGCCAGTCAGCAGACATTTATTAAGTACCTACTATGTGCCAGGCACTGTGCTAAGTGCTGGGGATGCAAAAAGAGGCAAAAGACAGGCCCTGCCCTCAAGGAGCTTGCAGTCTAATGGGGGAGACAACTTTTAAACACATATGAACAGACCGGCTATATACAGGATAAATAGGAAATAGTTAACAGAGGAGAGGCAGTAGAATTAAGTGGGGTTGGAATGGGGGTGGGGGAGACAGAAAGTCAGTGCCTTGATACATAGCTAGAATACACAGATAATACTACAAAGATCCTTTCTATATGTGACCTGCTGGGTCTTCTTAGTCCACCTTCTCCTTGACATGGAAAAATACTAATAGTTATGCCAGCAGACATTTTTGTGAAATTCTAAAGTTTGGAAAGCATTCTATGTATTCCTTATCCCATTTGGTCCTCACAGCCACCCTGTAGGGTAGGTTGTAGAAGTACTTTTATCCTTATTCTCCAAGTGAGGAAACTGAATCCCAAAGAGATTAAGTGATTTGTGAAATCTTAATCACTTGTGAAAGTGATTAAGTGAAATCATATAGCTAAGAAGTGTTAGGTGAAATTTGAACCAAGGTCTCTCAGAAGAGGCTGGGCTTGAATTCTGGAATAACTGTCCAGTGTACTTTTTCACATCTCACTCCATAAACAGGACTTCAGGTGTCTAAACCAGATGTGATCTTCCAGTTGGAAAGAGGAGAATCACCATGCATGTTGGAGGGCAAGGACTCCAGTGATCCCTGTCCAGGTGAGTGAGTGAAAAACAGGAGGATGGGAGTCACAGCTGAGCTGTTCATTTTGGAGGGACAGTCCGTGTGCAGTATTGCATCAGTCAATCAACATTATTAAGGACCTACTGTGTGCCGTGCTGTGCTAAGCCAATGACTCTATTAGTCATCAAGAATCAGGCAAAAAAAAAATCAAAAGAATAAAAAAATAGAAGAAAATGTGAAATATCTCATTGGAAAAACAACTGACCTGGAAAATAGATCTAGGAGAGATAATTTAAGAATTATTGGACTACCTGAAAGCCATGATTGAAAAAAGAGCCTAGACTGCATCTTTCAAGAAATTATCAGGGAAAACTGCCCTGATGTCCTAGAACCAGAGGCGGAGTAGTCATTAAAGAATCCACCGATCACCTTCTGAAAGAGATCCCAACATTAAAACTCCAAGGAATATTGTAGCCAAATTCCTGAATTACCAGGTCAAGGAGAAAATACTGCAAGCAGCCAGAAAGAAATAATTCAAATATCAAGAAGTCACAGTTAGGATTACACAAGACTTAGCAGCTTCTACATTAAAGGATAAGAAGGCTTAGAATATGGTATTCTGGGGAAGGGAGCATTGTTTGAACCTTTTTCTCATCAGATTTGGCTCAAAGAGGGAATAACATACACACTCAGTTGGGTATAGAAATCTATCTTACCAGGGAGCTAGATGGCACAGTGGATAGAGCACCAGCCCTGGATTCAGGAAGACCTGAATTCAAATCTGGCTGCAGACACTTGACATTTACTAGCTGTGTGACCCTGGGCAAGTCACTTCACCCCATTGCCTTGGAAAAAAAAGAAAGAAATCTATCTTACTCTATAGGGAAGTAGAGGCGAAACGGGAAAGAAAAGGGAAGGGGGCTATAGAAGGGAGGGCAGATTGAGGGAGGTGGTGGTCAAAAGCAAAACATTGGTGAGGAGGGAAAGGGTGAAAGGAGAGAAAAGTATAAACCAGGAAAAATAGGATGGAGAGAAAGACACAGTTAGTAGTCATAACTGTGAATGTGAATGGGACAAACTGTCCCATAAAACAGAAGTGGATAGCAAAGTAGATTAAAAACCTGAATCCTACAATATGTTATTTACAAGAAACACATTTGAAGCAAAGAGATGCACACAGGGTAAAGGTAAAAGGCTGAAGCAGAATATATTATGCTTCAGCTAAAGTTAAAAAAAGAAACGAAAACCAAAATGGGTAACAATCCTGATCTCAGACAAAGCAAAAGCAAATACAGATCTAATTAAAAGAGATAAGGAAGAAAACTACATCTTACTAAAAGGAACCATAGCCAGGGCTTCTTAAACTTTTTTCCACTTGTGATTCCTTTAGTGTTTCTTAGACAATGAAGTAATATCAATACTAAATATGTATGCACCAAGTGGTATAGCATCCAAATTCTTAGAGGTGAAGTTAAGTGAGTTACAAGAAGAAATAGACAGCAAAACTATGCTAGTGTGGGAACTCAACCCCTGCCTCAAAACTAGATAAATCTAACCATAAAATAAACAAGAAAGAAGTTAAGGAGGTGAATAGGATTTTAGAAAAATTAGAGCATAAAAACCTCGATCCAATGCAGAAAGACAGAAATACTAAATGTACCTTTTTCAGATCACAATGCAATAAGAATTACGTGTAATAAAAGGCCGTAGAAGGATGGACTAAAAATTTATTGGAAACTAAATAATCCAATCCTAAAGAATGAGTGGGTCAAACAACAAATCATTGAAACAATCAATAATTTCATCAGAGAATGATAATAAGGAAACAACATGCCAAAACTTATCAGATGGAACCAAAACAGGTCTTAGGGGAAATTTTGTATCTCTACATGCTTACATGAATAAAATAGAGAAAAAGGAGATCAGTGAATTGGGCATGCAACTAAAATAGCTAGAAAAAGAGTGAAATCCCTAAATAAATGCCAAATTAGAAATTCTGAAAATCAAAGGAAAGATTAATAAAGTTGAAATTGAGAAAACTATTGAACTAATCAATAAAACTAACAGCTGGTTTTATGGAAAAAAATTAGTAAAATAAATAAACCTTTGTTTAATTTGATAAAAAAAAGAAAGAAGAAAACCAAATTACCAGTATTAAAAATGAGAAGGGTGAATTCATCAGCAATGAAGAGGAAATTAAAACAATAATTAGGAATTATTTTGCTCAATTGTATGCCAATAAATCTGACAACATAAGTGAAATATTTACAGAAATACAAATTGCCCAGATTAACAGAAGAGGAAATAAAATACTTTAACCCCATTTCAGAAAAAGAATTTGAACAAGCCGTCAATGAATTCCCTAAGAAAAATCTCCAGGGCCAGATGGATTTACAAGTGAATTCTACCAAACATTTAAAGCACAATTAATTCCAATACTATAGAAACTATTTGGAAAAATACGTGAAGAAGGAGTCTTATCAAATTCTCTTTATGATACAAATATGGTGCTAATCCTTACTAAACCAGGAAGAGTCAAAACAAAGAAAAAAAATTATAGACCAATTTCCCTAATGAATATTGTTTCAGAAATTTTAAATAAAAATGTTAACAAAGAGATTACAGCAATTATCATGAAGATACTATGACCAGGTGAGATTTATATCAGGAAGGCAAGACTGGTTCAATATTAGGAAAACGTATCAATCCGCATAATTGACCATGTCAATAACAAAACTAACAGAAATCATGATTATCTCAATAGATGCCGAAAAAGCTTTTGACAAAGTACAGCAGCCATTCCTATTAAAAACACTAGAGAGCATAGGAAGAAATGGAACTTTTCTTAAAATGATAAGTACCATTTATCTAAAACCATTAGCAAACATTATATGTAATGGGGATAAGCTAGAAGCTTAGAGAAGAATTTATGACCAAATAAGAGATAGAGAACGTTATGAAATGCAAAGTGGATAATTCTGATTACATTAAATTAAAAAGTTTTTTCCACAAACAAAGCCAGTGCAAGCAAGATTAGAAAGAAAGCAGAAAGCTGGGAAACAATTTTTACTGCCAGTGTTTCTGATAAAGGCTTCATTTCTAATATATATAGAGAACTGAGTCAAATCTCTGAGAAAACAAGTCATTCCTCAGTTGATAAATGGTCAAAGGATATGAACAGGCAGTTATCAGATGAAGAAATTAAAGCTATGTATAGTCATGAAAAAATGCTCTAAATCACTTTTGGTCAGAGAAATGCAAATGAAAACAACTCTGAGCTATCACCTCACATCTATCAGATTGACTAATGTGACAAAAAAGGAAAATGATAAATGTTGGAGATGTGGGGAACTTGGAACAGTAATGCATCATTGGCCAAGTTGTGAACTGATCCAACCATTCTGGAGAGCAGTTTGAAACTCTGCCCAAAGGGAAACCAAACTGGGCATACCCTTTGATCCAGCAATACTACTACCAGGCCTATATCCCAAAGAGATCATTAAAAAGGGAAAAGGACCCACATGTACAAAAATATTTATAGCAACTCTTTTTGTGGTGGCAAAGAATTGAAAATTATGGGGATGGTCATCCATTGGAGAACGGCTGAACAAATTGTGGTATGTGAAGAGAATGGAATACTATTGTGCTATAAGAAATGGTGAACAGGTGGATTTCAGAAAAACCTGGAAAGACTTGTATGGACTGATGCTGAGTGAAGTGAGCAGAACCGGGAGAACGTTGTACACAATAACAGCAACGCTGTGCAATGCTCAGCTTCGATAGACTTAACTCTTCTCAGTAATACAACGTTCTAAGACGATCCCAGAAGACTCATGATGGGAAATGCTGTCCACATCTAGAGAGAGAACTGTGGAGTCTGAATGCAGGCGGGAGCGTACTGTTTTCTCTCTTTTTTTGTCTTTGTTTTTTCTTTGTTGTGGTTTTTCCCTTTAATTCTGATTCTTCCTTCACAACATGACGAACATGGACGTATGTTTAATATGATTGTACATGCATGGCCTGTATCACATTACTTGCCATTTTGGGGAGAGGGAAAGGGCAAGAGGAAGAAGAAAATTGGAACTCAAAACCTTATAAAAGTGAATGTTGAAAACTATCTTTACGTGTAATTGGAAAAAATAAAATGCTATTAAGTGGGGGAGAAAGGGAAAAAAAAAAGAAGAGATGGAGTTTCTTGTTTGGGGAACAGCCAAGCCAGTGTCACTGGATCAGGGTCACTCAAGGTCATCCTTCAGAAGTCTTCAGAGTCTGCCTGGCCCAGGAGAAACCTTATCGCTGTCCCCCATGAGCTTCCCCATCTACACCTTTGTTAGCTTTAAAATTACATAGAATGGTTCATTGTTAGGTCTATACTGGGCCTTAGGTACCATCTGGTTCAACTGCCAAGTTTTATGTACTTGGAGCCTGAGGACCAGAGAGCTGATGTGGATCTCCCCCAAGGTCCCCAAGCTATTAAGGGTCAGAATTGTGATCTGGATCTCCTGCTCTTCTGTACCTCCCTTACTAACCTTGCTATGTATATCCAATCTGAAACAAAGTTGTGTTTCTACTGTCTTAATCAAAGTGTTCTACTTCTACTCTAGACCCCCTTCTATCTTGCCTCCTTGAATTTTCCTGCCTCTCTTGAACCCTGCTTAGTCTCTCTTCACATTTTCCTTTCGTTCTTTCATCTATGTATGTGTCTGACACACAGATATATCATCCCCCCCCAAGTCTTTGTTGTTTCATTTACCTTCAAACTTGTTACCATTCTTTATTGCCAAAAGCACACCACCCGTGCTCATCCCTTTCCTATTTTAAGATTCTGCAGTGTGGCCTCTTTTAGGATAACTATTGAAGATGCTTTTAAAAATTATTTATTTTAAACACTTTTTTTCATTTTTATTTAAATTCTCTCTAGCCTTCCCACATCCCCTGAGAAGGCAAGCAAAATAATATCAGTTAATTATACATGTGAAATCTTGCAAAAATATCTTCATATTGGCCATATCACAAAAAAGCAAGAAAAGAAAAG